GGAATGCATCCTTGACTTGTTGAAGACCTCAGATTTGATGTCTCCATCCCAAAATTCCCTGCTGTCTTGGCCTTATTGAGACAATATACCGTTCTAGAATATTAGGACGTGTCAAAAAAAAAACCCCTGACTTTTTGCCATTGTTTTTCTACACTAGAAAAGAATGTACAGTTATTAGGCAAAACAAAAATGAGGGTGTTGTGGTCACATGGGTAGTTGGCTTTTTGATATCTTCAAAACTCATAATATATATTCGGTTGGTGTACTCTCAGTACAATAAAGCTTTGATTACACAGAAGGCAAAATTTGAGCTTAAACCGAACAAAATGGACTGCTGTATTTATTTAACCTGAGAAGCATAGACAATGGCCCATAATCCCAAACCCCCCTCCTCCCACCACAACCTCTGACATCTGCTCTCCAGAACATCTCCTTGATCAGTAAAACATAACCAGCTGAGGCAGTCAAAGACGTAGATGGCTATAAATTCCTTAGGTACACAGAATGGCACAGCAATACCTGACAAGGCTCTCCAAAGCCCCCTTATAAGACACAGTTCCCCTGCCCGACCTGCACAAAAATGCTACCCACCCTCCCCAATCTGTGCAAACTAGTACCCACCGCCCATGAGCCGCTCCTTGTGCAACACGCCCTCTCCTCTGGGCATCAAACAGCAGTGGATCAGGTGAGAACAACTGTGCAAATCAAGCCATACATTATGTCATCCTCAGCTAGTTGTGCTTTGACCCAGCCAGAACATCTAAAATTGTAATGAGATTATCCTCCATGATTATTACGGTTATCACTGTCATTGTAATCTTTAATGCTTTTCTGACATCCTGTCCAATAAATTAAACCGATAAAGACACAAAATAGATAAAGATTTGGATATTACATGGTGCTTCTAAAGTCATGGAAATGTGTGTTGTTTTTTTAGACACTTTCTCACTGTAGTGTCTGTCAGTGGAGTCACGATTGGGGCAGAAGCAATAAACAGTGCTAAATGGAAGTAAAGATGACACAATCTCCTTACTGCAATCAACTTTTTCCCAGGAGACAATTTTAACTCATTGTATTTACAAGTTGAGGTGTATTAGACAATCTCTGGACAAACAACCTTTTGGTTCTTAGAAATGTCCACAATAAAACATTGATCGTTTAGGAAGCTGGAATGGAAGCCATCTTTTGAAGAATCCTCCCAATCTTCTTTTAAGTTAAGGCACATTCTCTCTTCAATCCTTCTCCACTTGTCAAGCTTCAATACACTGCCCCTGACTCCTTTAGGACCCTCTGAACAAGGCTTACGCCCCCCTCCAGATCAAGCCAATGAGTCTGTGTGAACTCACAAAGACCTCTAATAACTCCACCAAACTGCTACGTAGACACAGATGCTTAGGGTTTGATCCTGTTAACCATTGGAAATAAGCCATTCCATGAATACTGTGTCTTTCCTCAAGCTGCTTATTTCTGTTGGAGTTGCTTTGGACTCTTGACCTACAGTCATCTAGGAAATGGTTTTGTTTACACATGTTTATGTAAGATTCACCTCTTTTAATGGCTAAGAATCATCTTAAGAATTGTCATCCTAGTCTTTCCCTACTTTGGTTTACAAAGAGTTAATTGCAGATGCAAGCATAGGGAAGTGGAGATTAAACAGACTCTGTCTCCACAGAAACTCAAAGGCCTTGCCTTTTGCCGGTTCCCCAGTCCTCCTCCTCCAAGGACAAGGACATGAGTGACTTTTAGTGCAAAAACTCTTTCTCAGCTAAAGCACCATTTCCAGTGCTATCAGGCTTTGTACCTCCCTTCCCCTCCCCTCCCCTCCCACCCACCTAACCATCCATTTAACCCTAAACCCCACAAACACAACTAACATTATCTTCGCTAGAAATACAAACAAGCCGCAACACATTTTACAATAAAAAAAAAAAAAAAGCATAGCAAGTTTTAAATTCTCACACTCAATAATCACAGAAAAAAAATAGACAGAAAGGGAACTCAAGTAGGCCTTTTCCACAACAATTCCACTCCAACTTCTGCAAAGAGGGAGGATAGATTTGGGTGGTGGCATAGGTACAAAAAAAATCCCGAAAACAAATCTAAAAGCTACTGTGAACTTCATATTGGAGGATCACAAGCAATGAGTGAAACAGTTGATAAGAGATGGTCTAGGTCAATGTGTTACCACACAAACCCTTACAGGCATGTGATGTATTATTAACTGGGTGTTTTGGGGTGTGAAAACAAGCTCACGCACTGGAATTTCCAGAAGGATTAATTCTGCCATAGCGTCCAGTCACACAAAAACGTACTTCGTAACTTACAGTAGTGTGATGCTTAGGGTGTGGCCTTCAACAACAAATTTAAAGTGAACACGACACTTGACCAGCGTAATTTAGCATATTGCAATGCATTGACAGAAACTAAACGGTTTAAATGGAGTATGTAGTTATAGATCATCGTCATAAATCCCTGCAGATGCTGCCACATCTTTACACTCCTCTGTATTAAGACAAAATAGAGAACTTTTTAATTAACTTCAAGTGCAATTAATCATTAGATATATAATATATCCTTTATTATCCTGTTACTCTTTTCTGTTAACGTCATATCAATCAAAAATTTCAACACAAAATCACCCTGTCCTTTCTCTTGAGTGACTGTGCACTTTTTGGCAGCTTGGTGTCAAGACTTAAAAGCAACACATACGCTCAAGCCAAAATAATAATAATTACTATTACAATTTTTAAAAAAAAGCCAAGTATCCCCACTTGGATGGGCCTTTTTATTTTTAGCACATTTGCTCCTTTGTTTGAAAGTACCCGTTTCTTTTGACTAAAAAGTGCCCTTCTCAGTAACAAAGTGCATTCAAATCTTGCTTCTTTCTTATTAAGGTGCAAAAGGCAGATAAACATGGTACAGCACTGCAGAAGGAATGATGCCACAAAATTATATCCTCTAATTCACACCAGAACAAAACTGTGCATCCATGGCTGTAACCACAGCCATTGTGATCCTTGCTATATCTTTCACGTGGATCTCATTGTATACAAACTGCTTTTAGGATGCATGCTTCTGGAAAGTTTCTTTCAAATCTGCCATCATCTATAAAAGGCTCCGCCTTAGTCAAGTCTTGCCCTTATACATGCCTTATTTAAACTCAACCAAATAACCCACTCTGCTGGATTTTTGGGGGAGCCCGTCTCAACGTGCCCACAAAGTGCCTGCTGACGCTCTAGGCCCCTCTCAATGAGTCATCCTGCTCTGATGTGGCCATAGGACGGTGCTGCACCCGCTCTCACCAACGCAAGCAAGCACATATTACTTTAAAATAAAGGTCTCAGTTTTAGGACACTTTCTTTCAAAACTTCGGCCAATCACTTGCATTGTGAAAAAGTCTTAATTGCTCTAATTTTTTAACTATATACATTGCATTACTTGATAATGTTCACGTTTCAAATAATAAAAACTGGACCCTCCCTCTTACTCAGCTACAGCTGTGCTCTTATTTGGACTTGGACATTAATTTATTGCTCACCTTATCGCTCAGGTTGTTTCAGGTTTTTGTTTCTGTGGTCCCTTGGGCAAAGAAATTGAATAAGCACTTTGTATCTCCCTAACCCAAACTGCCTCCTTAAATAGGTATTTCTCTATCTCTGTTGGATATCTTTTGTAAAGCTGTGCAAATGCATAAAAAAGGTGCTCGACTCTTTATCTCTCCTTCTGTCGCTGAAACAAACAAACAAATATAAGATTCCCTGCTTAAGTTGTCCACTAGCCATTTGCATAACAGTGGTGCCCTCACTCAATCGTTTGCATACAGTTTCACTCTCCTGCAGAAAGACTCAAAATGAAGCACATTTATCACAATTCATACTTTGGGCAGAAACTTCTGGGTTCCATTAAGTGCAGCTTAGGGAAAAAAATGGGTTTCTCAATTATAATGCTCTACAACATCAAACAGCATATTCCCCCCCTGCAAACTTAAAGCAGTGAGAAACCTGGAGTGAAGCTTAAGAAAGATGTAACCCTATCTATCTGCAATATACCTCTTGTAAAGGGTCTCATAAGATTACAACCTAATATATACACACACACGTATACAAATGTAAAGTGTCAAGTACCCAAAATAGTCAACTCAAAGGTCAAAAAGAAATCAAATGACAAAATATTAAGACAATCCAAAAATAAGAAAGAATATAATGCAAGTAAGACTGCCAAAAAGGAAAAGCAGGCCTGTGAGAGGTAAGATTTAACATGATTGTGCCCAGTGGCGATCAGATGAAGGTAGTGCTTTAGAAACACATGACCTCATCCCTTGTCTTACCCTCTCCCTGCCAGAAACAAATTAATGAGATCTCCCCATGTGTATTCAACTCAAAAAGGTAACCTGTTAAACCGTGAAAAGCTAACCTATTAAAAAAAACATCTTTTATAGAGAAAGTAACACTTTAAATCAAACCCCTTTCCGATTCTTTCTGGAACATTTAGAAAAAAGGTGCTGCATCAGAATATTGCATATATTGCAATCTGAGACAATATAATTTTTGTATAGTGTATGTACATGTTGCTCATTGCATTAGAAAAAGAGATCTATTGGTTGCCCTGATCACATCTTAGACCATTCATAGCTAACCTGTTGAAGCAGCAGCCAGCCCGGTGTTTGACACCTTACTTTTTAAGACAAGGCCCTGTTGATGCAACCCAGAGATGAGGAACTTGTTTAAACTGCATAGTAGCTTTTTCTCGGACTCGCATGGCTATGCCATTATGTTACAAAAACACCAACAAAAAGACCCAGAAAGATGGTGACAGCATGGGTGAGTGATTTGAAGTGCTCTTCGCTCTTCCAACAGACCAGTAACTTTGTGGTTAAGTCTCTATGCGGAATGCAGAAGCTAAAAAAAAGAGGAGGAAAAAGAAACCAGAAGATTAGATTTGTGACACCCTGATTTGTTTTTTGTTTTTTTTAGAGGACCATGTAGTTTAAAGTTTCTTAATTTTTGTTTCATTCTTCCTCTCATTTTTGAGTAAAGCCCTCTCTGACAAAGATGGATTCACGTAGTCGCAGAGTCCCTTTGTCCCGAGGTCAAATCTTCACTACCTTCTCCATCGGCAACCGGGCTGTGCGTGTGACTACCGTGATTTTCCTCCATGACTGATGTTCCTGTGCCCCTGTCCGGATGTCGTCGACCTCTATCGATGTCTGCGTCTGGGCCATGAAGTTCCAAAGGACCATCTAGGAGCTCAGAATCTCGTATGCGTGGCTTGCGGCCTCGACGGGAAGGGATGCCGTTGCAGCCGTCCTTCTTGAGATGACGGTGGAGGTGGTCTGAGCGCACAAAGGTTTTAAAACAGCTGGAGCACTGGTAGGGGCGCAAGCCTGTATGTACACGCATGTGATTCTTCAGGTCGTAGTTGTGGGCAAAGGCAGCGCCACACTGAGTACACAGGTAAGGCTTCTCTCCTGTATGCTTGCGCATGTGAACCTTTAGCTTGTCCTGCCTGGAAAAGACCATACAAAAACGTCAAATGAGCCACTACCCATGGGTTTGTGTGAATTAAGCAAATTAACAATGACATACTCAACAGCAATTTAAGGTTTGAAAATTAACAAAACAATACCATGATATACAATACGCTTTAATGCCTTTAACGTCCTTAAAATGCCCACTCCCACATGACTTGATGTCCCAGAAAAACCATTGACGATATTGGGGTGAGTCACTAACTACAACTTGATGACAAGACACACCGGTAAGGTTAGCCACATAGATCATTAGAAAAGGCAAATAGTCACACATATATTACAAACTACATAAAAGCAAACATCTAAGGAGGTAAATATATAAATCTGTTTGTTCTTGCAACATCAAAGACAACATATATCCTCAAAAAGAGTCTGACCTCCTTATCTTCACTTTCAAGAGTAAAGTCAAGTTTATTTATCATTCTTTTTTGCTGAAGGCACTCAAGGTCATATGAGGAAAAGAGTCATAAAGCTCACAGCTTTATCGCCATAATTTATTTTTAGGCCAATGAGGCACTGAAGGGCTCAATGTTCAGTTCAGAGTCATAGTGGGCCCTGAGTTTCCCAAAAGGGCCATTTCAAAATGGTGAATCTGTTAAAGAGCACAATTGCTTGTTTTACAAGCAAAATCTGAAATCTTCAAAGTCAGCTGAGGAGAGCTTTTAGTTTATGGGAAAAAACCAATGTTAGACTGAAAAGGTGTGCTGGGTTGAGAAACCGGTTTGGAAGAATGTGGTTTAAACTTTAATGTCTTTCCTCAAGTGTCCTCCAACCATTTAAAAGCACAATAAAAACTATATAAAATATATTATTGTTGGATATTATATTTTTTAAATATTAATCCAAGCAAAACTTTTTCATTTTGGTCATCTCTTAAGCATTTCTGACTTTTGACACCCCACCCGAAGCAAACTGGTCCGAATGGCTAAAGAGTAGGTTCTTTTCAACAAGAGACCGCATACTGTCAAAGTATATTGTTTTGCAACAATAAGGAAGCTATAGTGTGGTGTCAAATACAAAGCCTTCTGTTGTAAGACTCTGCTCTCAGCTTACCCCTCTCTGTCCCTTCCCCTAAGCTTGTGACCAGGGCAGAGTACAGCTAAACAAACTAGGGTGGTTGACCCGTCCAGAACATTGGAGGCTTACCGAAAACACAAACGCGCTCACGCTCTTCCATGGACAGACACACACCCGAGTATGTAAACACAGACATGTGCACACTGATGCCTGTGTATTTAGACGTTTTAATGCATCTGGAGATTCTCTCACTCATAATTTCTCACCTTTCGCAGACATTCTCCATAATGTGGGTAATATACATACATGCTTGTGAGGAAACACGTTCACACACATACACAGTGTAACAGAGTGGGGCACAGACAGATGAATTATTTAGAAGTTAGGATTGATTTATTGCAGTGTGAGTGAAGTGCACTCTTAACCCTGGTAAAACGGGATTAAGATTACAGTACCCCTTCCCAATAGGTGGAGTATTTAGGTGGCAAACTTAGATCCATCCCTACGCAAATAGGGTACTGGATATTTTTGGTGCAGTGTCTATTTCCAATTCGTGTCTTCTGATTAATTCATTAAGGTGATGGTTTCATGGAAGAGGTGATGCCCTTAAGTGCAGGGTAAGCCATGCTAGCAGCTTTCTAAATGAGATTCAGTCTTGTAGCACACTATATTTTTCATCAGCCGTTTGTCTGAAAGAGGGGCTGTATATGCCAGGCGCAATAATCAACATAACACCCAGGGTCACAAGTTCAGCTGACTCACTGGCGTAGATAGACCGTGCTGTAATCCCTTTCAATATCGGCATGGAGAGTTTTATAACGGCCTCATCCCTGATAACAGTAGACCAGGTTGTGCTACCACAACCCATTTTTATTGGACCCCCTTGTTAAAATTCCAGGACTTTGTCATGCAACCTTTCTGTCAACATAAAACACAACTTTATGGCTGACTGTGTTAGTGTACTGAATACCTTACCATTTACATTTGATAGCACACAATATGCTAAAGTGTATGTAAAAATACAAACCAAGCTCAATTTTCCATAAGATAAAAAACAAAACTGACAAAAATAGCAAAAATGTCATACCTGGTAAATCGCACTTTGCAGATGGCGCATTCATAGGGCTTTTCTCCTGTGTGTGTACGAATGTGGCGTGGAAGCTTGCCTGCACCTTGGATGACCTTGGAACAGATGGGGCACTTCTGGAAGGCTTTAGAGCGCATCTTCCTTTCACCGCTGTTACCCCCTCCAGTCGCTTGGTTTCCACCTCCGTTGCCCCTCACTGACCACAGTGGTAGCAGACTTGGAGACATGGAGGGAGTGGTGGCCTCCTCATGCGGTGCACTATTAAAGTACTTCAAGTAAAATTCCACGTCTTGCTCTTCGCCCTCAGGCCCATCCTCCTCACCCCCTCCACCTGTCGTGGCCTGTTCCCTTTTCTGCTCCAAGGAGTCCATCATCTGTTGTAGCAAAGCACTAGCAGAGCCTTGTTCGTGCTCCCGCTCACCTGTCACCTCCACCTCCCTCTCTGATTTAAGCTCTTCCTGATGGAGGTAGTAATGTCCATTCTGAGTGGGAGCATAAAAGGGTATCAGAGCCTCTGCACCTTTCCCTCGAGCCAGAGCTGAAGCTACATCCTGGCACTCCTCATCCACGTTATCATCTTCAGGGTCACGAGGCGGCTGTGATAGGGCCTGGGCCAGTGGGGAGTAGTAGTCAGCAAGGCCGATGGGCGTGCCATTGCTGTCAGCGCCATTGCGTTGGCTAAAGTGCAGGTGTGCGGGAAGGTCCCTGAGCTCGGGCGTGCTGCAGCTGCTACCCCAATGCGCCCCCCTCTGGAAGAACTCCAAGTACTCACGGGCACGCAGCCGGATGCCCTGCTCTTTTCCATTCTTTCCTCGCTCCTCTTCTTCCTCTTCTTCATCTTGCTCACTGCCCGCCTGCAAAAAGAAATGGAACTACGTCATCATACTGCTCCAATACATTAATCAGTGGAATTGTAGAAAAAAACACAGGTCACAAACCGGCGGGGAGAGCACTTTGGTGTCCAGCAGGTGTGTGCAGACATCTTGGACGGGTGAGATCTCCAGCACACGGGCAGCGCTTAGGATGTCAACCACACTGTTGCGGCTGACTGTGAGTGTGGCTGTGTATGCAAAGTCCAAGAGGGCGGCCAGCGCCTCAGGCCTCACAAAGTCCAACGCATAGACTTTCTGGCGGTCAGCAGCCAGGCCAGAGGTGAAAAGCTTATGGAAGTAGGTACTGCAGGAGGCCAACACGGAGCGGTGGGCAGGGAATTCTCTCTCTTGGGCAACTAGCAGTACATCACACAGCAGCCCACTTAGCCGTTGCCGGTTGAGACTGCCCAGCAGGTCAGCACTGTGCTCGGGGAAGGGGATGCCCACTGGTCCTTCCTCTACCTCGCCTGCACCCCCACAGGCCCTCCCCTCACGTCTTCCCCGCCCACCTGCTCCCGACGACATTTTCCACCAGCCTGCCGCCGAGCCGCCAATCGCAGCCACCACCCGTCCGTCCGTCCTGCCGTCTGTCCGTCTGCCTGTCTGTGAATGTTGAGGAACAGTAACAGTTAATCAAAGTGACAAAGTGACTGGCAGATATTAAAACAATTGTTATTATTACTAAATTAAGGCAAAGTATTTTACATAAAAGTACAACAGAGAGGGGAAAACATTTTTAAAGTATTTTCAAACACTCCAAATCATTTCACCAATGACCTTAAAAGATTACTGAAAACAAAATAGTTTTGGAAGTTCAAGCTGAACAACTCATGCTGCAGCTTAAGACACTAACAGTGTTTGGACCATATTTATGCTGTTCCTTCTCTCTGCGCTCTATTAACATCCAGGGTAGGATTTCCAAGTCTTGTATCCAAATGAAGCAGAGAGGCTAATAGATAGTGGCCAAATGGTTGCTACTATACAAAAGACCACTGGTCAAGAATATCCGAACCACAAATGGAAGCCTCAAAGGATATTCTGTCAACAAACTGGTTGAAAGACTTCTTTTAAAAGTCCAGGGAGAATTGGTGCAGTTTTTTTAAATGAGAAGGTATCGGTTTTGTATATGATAATGAATATATATATATATACACTACTGTTCAAAAGTTTGGGGTCGGTTTGGGGTCAAATGATCCTTCACAAATCAGTATAATATGAGGATTTGATGCTCAAGAAATATTTATTATTATTATCAATGTTGAAACAGTTGTTGGTCTGTCAGTTGTACAGTTTTTTTTTTTTTTTGGATTCTTTGATGAATAGGAAGTTCAAAAGAACAGCATTTGTTTGAAATAGAATCTTTTGTAACATTATAAATGTCTTTACTGTCCTTGATAAATAAAAGTATTGATTTCTTTCCTCCAAAAAATAAAAATAAAATTCTCACTGACCCCAAACTTTTGAACTGTAGTGTGTATATATATATATATATATAAAACTTATAGCTCAGTTCCCCTTCTCAGTTTCTTTTTTACTATTAAAAACATTTGCCTAACCTTTTTTATATGCTGTGTTATGGTGCAAAATTGTTGCTTAAAAGTAGTCTTTATAAACATCAAATAATCTACCAGTTATGTACAACATCTCTTATGATGTTGTCAATAAGCTACTGTTTGACTTCAACTTGTGGCAGTTGAGAATTTACCATGTCTTGAAATGCATTCTAAAGAGCCTTCTAGTTTACAGCAATCAGTTCAGGGTGTTAACTGAATTCAAATGTAGCAGCATGTCAGAGGGTGGCAAGCCTGCTGTCATAATGGCAGTGAGAAAAGAGAATCTGTACCGTGCCGCTTTGCTGGGGAAGTGCATGGCACATAGTACAGGCCTGGGCACCATGTGCACTGAATTGCGTGTCAGTTGGCTTCTGGGGAAGGGGGTGGGGGCAGGGGCTTGCCGGCTAAAGGCTTGAGTGGAAAAAAACCCACTAGAGGAGGAAGAGTAGGAGGACACATGCAAGGCTGCAAGGGAACAGTATTAAATAGGGAGGTTGTCAATCCGGTCTGAGCCGGTTACCCCACCCTGCACTGTGTGCCAAGTTTCAGGAAAGGCCTGTCCCCTTGATCACGTGTGGGGGGAGATTAAAATGATCGACCGCAGTACAGGCGAGGGTAGAGGGAGGGGGGCTCTGAAAGGCAACCTTCCTTGATTTGTCCATTGGAAAACACACGCTCACACGTGAAAGCAAAACAGCCTAACTACCCCCCGCCCCTCCATCTGCCAAAGTGACCCAGCAGGGGGTGAGGCCACTGAGGATTATACCCAATAAGAGCAATGCATTCAAATTACATTCCTTCAGATCAAGCCCCTTGGTATGTATGCAAGACCTGCTCAACCTGGCTGCTTGCTCTCTCTCACGCTCTCACAAAACTGCCTTCCTCCACACCTAGAGATCTGGCACTAAGTCAGGTCACTATCGGTGTAGCACTAGAGGTAGTGGGAAGGTAAAACTCAGCAGCAAATCCAACCCCAACTACTTGTCTTGCTTGCGTTATTACTGTGGGTGACATTCAGGCTCACCTTATGTGCACCGTTTTTACACGCTATCTGACTCTAGCACAAACAGTAAAGAAGTTCAGTGTCAGAATATGATGACATTGGCATAATCTAGGGCACATATGCACTACACATTTCTATATAGCACACTTCAGTGAAGCCATTCCAATAATAGTCCCCCACTGGACCATGCCTTGACTTGTTAAAGTTTGATGGTAATGCCCATAAGCCAATGGTTTAAGCCATTTTCTCACTGTCTCTCCCTTTACTTTTTAGCAAAATGATGGGCATCTGTAGGGGAAGCTTTGATACAACTCCTACCCACTTGACTAACAGGTGCATTCTATCTCATTGTTTTATTGCAGATAATTTGAATAAGTCAAGGTAGAGGACAGGCTGGAGATTGGGTTTGACAATAAGTGTTTTCAAGTATGGCACAGGTTCCACATGAATAGAGGTAAATTGTCAATTTAAAAATAGTGCTTATTTAAAAGGGATAGTTCAGCCAAAAATTTAAATTCATCATCATCATTTACCCACACCTTATGTCGTTCTGTACTAACTTTTCAACTGTTTTTGCCCACACCATGAATTTCAATAGAGTGTGATGTTGTTTTGGATCCGATTGATGTTCATTGTAAAGACGAGAAAAAAGTCTCTGTTTAAGGTATTGTGTCTCACAGAAACAAAATGAATAAATGAAAGAATGTTTCAATTCTGGTCTCCTTAAACACTAAAATATACCATTTCAAATCATACAAATTTAACTGAATTCACGAGGAACCTGAGCCATACCTGGAAAAACCCTTCAAATCAGAAATAAAACATGAATTTCAGAGAAATATGGCAAGAGCTGTTCTGCTGACATAAGGGAGTTCTTAGAAGGGAAACTCAAAAGTCATCTCTCTGTACTTCAGCTTGTGGGTGATACAATAAACTAGTTGAGCAGCATCCCTGTCCCTGAATAAACCCAAGGCAAAGCTGAAAGAAAGAGGAAACAGTGCAAACAAACCTGATCCTGACACCTTCTCAGGGCTCCCAACATTCTTAATCACTTATTCATGGATATGGGTGACCGGGGACATGCAACGGCCCCAACGTCTCATTTCCAGACCTCTTCTGCCGGCCGCACGCACAGGCCTCAACTACTTTGCAAGTCAAACCACAAGTTACTGCGAATACTCATCCCAACTCAGCCCCCACCCTCCCCTAACAGCCCCTCCCAGCCAATGTAAAGAGCTGCTTTCGAAAATAGATTTCAGAGACTGTCAAACTGTCTTAACGAGTATCTGCATAATTTTTATACTGGGCAAGTGTAAACAAAACCAGATTAGAAATTCTTAGTTACCTTTAGATAGGCATGAAAAGTACATCATAGTTGCACTTTTTGTATCATACCTTGTATGATATAACTCTTGAGCAGAAATAGTTCAGCATTATGTAACCAGTTGGAAATAACACCACCAACACAGCAAAATCTTTTTACAAGAACCAGGTAACTACCGTCAATCAAATTGAGTCATGGTTATTTAATGTGTTTGGTGATTAAGTTCTTAGAATGCAGCTGCTGCTCTCCTCAACTAACTCTAAAACAAAGTTAATCCAGTGAAGGACAGCAAACGGCAAATCTACTTGCTCATTATATGAACCGAAAACTGACACCTCAGAATGAAACATCTAAGGCAAGCACATGCCACGCATTCCAGGAAAACACATTGACTTATGACATGAACCAAAACAAGCAGTAGGGTTTCACAAAACACTTCAGTCTCTTTCTATTAACTTTCTCTCTTCGTCAATATAGCCTCACACCTTTAAATGTGTATTTCATGGGAGCTTGGGAATACTTAGAAAGGATCAGTTAATTAGGATTAATGACAAACATGTGAGTTATGTACACAGGGCATCCCTGCGACATGAATGTATACTCAGTATGTATGTGGAAGCAAACGGGTGTGTGTGTGTGTGTGTGAGATTAGCTCCTCCTGCCACTTAAGGGAGGGAAGGGGAGTCACTAGACTAGGTTGACAGGGTTCAAGGTCAAGGCAGAGAGGATATTACCGGATAATCATAAACAGTATGGAGAGGGGCTGACTTGTTCCAAGAAGAACAGGATTTTGAGCAAGGCCCTGCAAATGAGTCACTCCTGCCAGCGTTAGTTAGGGAAGCGTGTTTGGTCGCAAAAAGAGCAAGGAGGAAGTGGCCGAACAACTGATAAAACTTGTGCTGTAGTGCTGGGTCGTTTCACTGGAGAAATGTCAGTAGGCTGCCAAAAATCCAGACTTGTATGCACAATGCCCCCCAAAAGGTACTGGGTGAGACTGCTTGAAGCACGTGCACACAATCTTTTGAGCTAGCGCATCTCTCGATTTTACTTTGCTTTAGTCGCTGGAAACCTTTATAGACACTAAATTACCTCCCTCTTTTCAAAACCTATCATGAGATCAATAAAAGTTTTGGTACGGGCAAACTATGTTCTTTTTATATTGTGAAATTAAAGGTCTTAGTTGTAGACGCATTTCAAATAAGAGCACACAGCAAAAGGTAGAGCAGATATGGCAAGAGACCCAAATTTGAATGCAACAACGTGCCTATGATCTTTCTAGACCAGCAGCAGCTTTGTTAGAAGATGAAGCCCATGTGTGAAAATGCCACGACGCCCCCTCATAGTTTGACCAAACTTTTCCAGGCCTAACTCCCTGCATCTGTCTCTGAGCTGCCCACAACTCCTGAATCTTTGGGCAATCTGTGGCCGGGCCAGGAAACAAGGAAACAAGGAAACAGCATGCAAACCAACACGTGAAACAGAAACTAAATTGACTAATGGCGGCAGCACTACTCCAGCCCTTCCAGTGCCCTTGTACTGAGGCCACAGCTCGTGTCTCAAGCTCTCTGCTGCTGCGGCAGCCTGGCCGGTTGGGCGGAAGAAGACTTCCTGCGTGACTCTGGTGATGGTGTAACAGAACCCGCTCTGTTATCAGATGACCAGCTCTCCCAGACACTGCACTGCACACTCCACCACCAGTCTACCACAGCTTCCACTTCCCTCTTCTGCCTCTGCTGAGAAGGCAAAAAGAAATGACAACCCACCCAGGATTTCTTTTTCAGCTCTACATCACAGCATATCTCTGAACAATACCACTAAGGTAAGTATGTCAAGGACTCCTCCATCTGCTGGAGGTCGAGCTCCACAATAGAGAATGGGGGCGAGAGCATAAACTTACAGCAATTGGATTCCACTTTACTGTCAAGAAAACCAAGAAGGCCTCACTCATTGTGTCGACAGACTCTCAGCAGATAAGGACAAGTGGAAGAAGGCCCTTTAAAGAGCGCAATGAGAGAATAATGAGATGAGCTCTCTGATTACCGATAGTAATGCTAGCTTGCATCAGCCCATCTCCCAGCATCAGGCTTTAATTCAATCACTTCAAAAATGCTTTACAAATGTACACTGTCCCCCAAACGTAATAAAACTAAACCTTATCCAGAAAGCCAATTCAAAGTGTCTTCAAAATGCTGAAGGATTACTTCAGCATGAACTATACTTTTAGGTCAAACAGTAGTTGCTGGTAACTTCTACCGCCTTTCAGCCCTCAGTCCTGCACTGCTCAAGGACACAAAAACAGATGCTTTATGTCCTCACAACAGACCACGATTTCACTTAACTTTTCTAGAGGATTGTGTAAGTAAAACTAAGGATTGTGCAAATAAAAGTTGTATTTCATAAGCATTCAAAAGCTAATCAAATGTTTCATACAAGCAAGTGCATAAAAACTTAACCGATTCACATTTGAGAGTCTAGCAATTGAAACTTTAAATGCAAACAAAACTAATATTTAGTCAGTTATTTAAAAAAAAACTGAACTTCCACATATATTAAAAGACATACTGAAATGAACACAGCAACACATTAAGTTAAAATGCTTGAAGTGTGTTGCATGAAGTTCACATATGCCTTACCTGTCATAAATGCTGACCTGAAACGACCCTGTCAGGTAATTTAACTATATGCAGTGCTAACTGTATTATGGTGGGTAAGAATCTCTTTGCCTCTTAAACAAGCAAAAGACAATAAAGAACGGCCTCACCCCTGTGAGAAAAGGAGCCTTGTCTGTGCATTATTCAGGCACTGGGCGTCATCTGTGAATAAAAATACCCCTTGTGTCCTCCCTGTACCCGCACTAGTGAAAACGAGTTAAGCAAGTATGGGATGGAAATGATCTGCATACATCTTTGAATAAAAAAAGAGAGCGAAAGAGACTGTAGCTTCCTGCAACGCCTTTGAGTCCAGGATAAACATGCAGTCTACTGAATGGACAAGTCATGAGACCCTGCTAAAGACCCTTACCAAGGTAGTAGATGTTGATGTGCATTATGGCACAGTTATAAAAAGAATAAGGGGGCAGAGAAGCCTACAAGGGATCTGCCAAGGGGAGAGGAAAAACTGTCCAAGGTTCTTAGAGATCTCATTGAGCAGGATGTCTTTGATGTGAATTTAAGTTTATTTAAAATAGTTTCACAATCCACCAGAGATGCCATTGTCAAACCCACAGTCATCAACCATTTGTGACCAAAACGTAAATAAAACCAATTTGCTTCTGCTAGAAAATTATTTCTTTATTAAATTACAATTTGTAACCGTCAGATAAAAAAATAAGAAACAAAACAAAGACAGTTCAGTCAGAAAGTACTTGGTAAGCTTCTGTGCAGCAAGTTTCACTTTCCAAGTCATACCTTAACACAGAAGGCCTCCGTTTTTCATCTCTATGCCATCTGCAAGTGGGTCAAGCACGCTGAACTTAATCAAGCCAAGTCCCTCTCTTCCCCTTTTAAGATTCCATTATTTCTCTTCTAGCTTGCCTTTCCAGTCTCAGACACCAGAGAGAGTGAGAGTGCATTTGGAGCTCTTACCGGCCGGCAGGAATTGTTTCCCTGTGGGTCAGCTCCGTCTCCCTCTGCCTGCCTGCCTGCCTCTGTGCCTGGGCAGGGCTCTGCTCTGGAGAAGCTGCAGACAGGAAACTTCCGAGTGGCCCTAGTTACATAGGCAAGCCCTTGCCTGATCCCACACAGTCAGACACCTACTAACTCCCCCACTCTATTTTCAGCCCACTGCTCTAGCTTCACTTCCCCCTCTGTGATTGGCTTGCCTGCTTCTCAATCACCACACCTCCCCACTAGGATAGGCTACTGGCTGTTCCCTTTCCTGTATGGCCAAAGGCAAGGCACTCTGGGAAGCACAGTCCTTTAGTATGACTTCACCTGCTTCTAGGCCAGTGCTACGAACTACAAGTCCCAAACAGTCTGCTCTTGCCACCCCCACATCTCAGAGCTTGCTTCAACGTAAGCATTCAGAGCTGAATTATACACTACCGTGTGTTGCTAGCAGGATGCCAGGTATTAAAAGTACAGACCAGCCAACAAGCAGTGCCAAGCTCTGTACGTATGAAAAAAGACAAAGGGATCCAGACACAACTCAGTGGAACTTCAAAACAATAAACTGATATTGTCACACTCTACACCATCCAAAATATTTGGTATTCTTAACCCAGTGGAGATTTTTTTTAAACCTAAAATATTCTATCACAGCTATAACCAGTGCAAACCGAATTCAAGGCTGAACGATAAATTCCAAAGGTGTCTGCACAAGTTAGCAGAATTTGTTTCTGAATGAATGACAAGGAGGATAAAAAAATTGGACTCTAGTGCGTAACACCGTACCTTGTCCTATAGAATTATTTTTGGTTCCTTCCTACAACCTTCTCTGCTCCTCTAACCTCCGACAAACACACCCCTTAAGTGCTGCCTCAAACAACAACAAAAAAAAGTTAACAATTGTGAGAATAGAAAAAAAGTTTAATAAAGCAACACCAGTGAACTGAAGGTGTTCAAAAGCAGTTATTTTGAAGATCAAAGAAAAAGGATAAATAATTCCTCACTGGCACAGGAGCCCCTCCTACCCCCCACACACATACTCTCTCTCCTCTCGGTCCCCCTCCCTCATTCCTTCCTCCTCAGCCTTGCTCCCTTCGGTCGATAGGCCCTGGGCAGACGACAAGGGGGACAAGCAGGGGGAAACGAGCTCACCTGTGATGGCCGTGGCGGTGCTTGTTATGGGTTAGCTCTTCCCTCCTCTGTGGAGCTCTCTCTCTCTTAGCTGTCCCTGCCGTTTAAAGCTCTGTATGCGCTAACCAAGCACCAGCAGATCAACTCAATTCCCTTCCTGGTTTCTGGAGGGCAAAAAGGTCCCTCCCTTTCTCTCTCTCTCGCTCTCCCTCTCTCTTAAAGAAACAGCATTCCCCCATGCTGCTCTCCTCTGCTACTCTCTGGGGAATACAGTAAAAGGCTGTTATCATGCCATAGTGGCCACCATCACTCATGACATTAACACAACGGTAGAGTTCACAAGGATGTCACTGGTAAAACCGGCCTGTATTTGTACAAAGTTGTTTGCTGGGGTGTTGCACATGTACTTTGGATGTGTGTGCGCGCCAAAATAATGAGAGTTAACCGTCCTTTTTTCTCCCCTGTGTGTGTGAATGCAGTCGCACCCACCCATCCCATTGCCTGAGGTCATAGAGTCCCACCCCAGAACAAGCCATGGCACATTCCAGGACACTCAGGGTCTGCCAGCAGTTCCCCCCCGCAACACATATACACACACCCTCCACTGTTTCAAACTAATATAGCTCACAGAGTGTACCTACTCTCGAGGGGTCGTCGGATAGAAGTGACACTTCTCTGCTACACCTTTTTGACACCTCTTCTCTGATTATATTTAACAACAAACTTTTCAATTTAAACAGCAATTTAAAAAAAAAAGTAATCAAACACCTAAACGCGTACTGTGATTCCATACTTACCAAAATCATGCTGAGAGAAACGATAAGTGCAATCGACCAGCGGGACAGACATGGATTATCCTCCACCACTTGGAGACTTGTTCGCTGGTTTACCTGCTGCTGGACTGAGTTACTCAAAAACAGGAGGAGTAGTATATGACCTCTCTGAGAGTGACTGTACAATTGAGGACTCTCCCGTAAAACAGGGAGTGGACGCAGAAGAGTGTAATTGTGTATGACACCGAGTTGCTTAAATGCTGGAGTATTAAGTAGGAGACGAGCATGATGAACTAACACACACCAACCATAGAGGGCAGTGTAATAGGGACACTTAAAACTTGATTCAATGTTAAAAAGAAACGGCGAAGAAGACTGACAACAACTACAGCAGGATAATCATTCACAAATAAGTTTTATTTTTATATTAGAACTGTATTCAACACTTTCCAAATGGTAATAAAATGACTTATATACTCTTTAAACTAGGCAAAAAAAAAAATATTTTTAAGACTGAAATCAGTACCGTTTGTACTGTACATATATTTTTATACACGCATGTGTGGTGGTGCATTCACTTGGTCTGAGCTAAATGCCAGTGTGTGAACAATACAGTTTCAATGTTACTGAAAAGTACTAGAGAGAGAAAAACTGAAACACAAATCTATTTAGAGCAAGTGGGCTTTAGCCACACTTCACAATGCCCATCTGTAACACCCGTGTATTTATAAGACCTACTAATACGGCAATATCTGCTGAGGTTCATTTGATCTGCATAGCACTGTACATGGTGGCCTGAGACTTTACTTTGCACGTTATATACCACTGAAGAACAGACTATGAGTTTACCAGTTGTCTTAAATGGGAGTAGGGCTCATGGAAAAGCACTGTAAAGTTAGGTGCAACCCTAGGTGTACTCAAAACTTGAAATCAAAAGAAAGAAATTTTTAGGTTTTATATATATATATATATATAAAAAAAAAAACATTGAAGCATAAGTTATAAACAATAAATCTTCCCAAATATACCCTTCTGAAGATCATTTTAAGTTGAAAAATAAAGCAAGATTTGAGAAACCCGTTCAAGCACTGGTGACAAAGATGAGTCAAACAAGACAAACTTACTGTAGAAAGACATGATGAAACCATTTTAAGGGCCAATGTTGAGCAGATTAAAAAGCACTGCTGTCTGCAATGCACAAGAAACAACTGTACAATGCGCTTGGGCATCTTGCATTTTTAATAATCACCTTTGTAATAAACCAACCTGTATGATCCACAGTAGCCCTATTTTCTTTCTTTAGATGCAAACAGCAGTTGATTCATAATTAATTTTTTGCTATTGAACCATGCTATCAATTTTAACAGTGTAACACAAACTGTCAATGAATATCACTTGAGCAACAAAATATCACTTGAGCAACAAAATAATATAATGACTTAATAAACAGTCCATGAAAAGAAAAGAAAAAACAAAACTAATGAAATTGCTGTTGATTTTTACCATTTTTGAAACATTCCTGAATAATCTGGTCGTTAAAAATACAGCCACTCCACTTAAGTGACTCTAATCTCCATATTCATTCAAATGACTAAGTGTTCCAACATCAGAGGCTCTTACCCAGAACACACTGCAGCGGAAGGGAAGAGCAAGCAGAGAAAGAGTGCACAAAATAGTGTGTCCGAGGCTTACAAGCATACAGGCCTGTGAGGGCAGAGAGGAAAAAGTAAAGCGGAGGATGAGGATGGCATGGGTGCCTACGCTGTGAGCCAGCGTTCATTCAGCGCTATGAGTAGGTGTGCTGGGCTGGTGAAGGCCCATGGTTTTACACATCCACCCAGCAAAATCCACCTCCTCAACCTCGGCCCGCTTGATGAATGTGTGGCCCTGCAATTGAACATCACATGATCAATTACACCATGAGCAGTTTCTGGTGCCAAGCATTTTATTTTCAATAGATCCAGCCTCAGTATACTTCTACAAGTACTGTTTTCTATAATGCAGTCTTTGGCAAAACATCATGATATTGATGTTACGAGTACCAACAGGCAATACGGTAATGAGTGGGAGGGGGGAAACATTTCAAATTCAAGTCGTAACTAGTGCTAATCGCCAACATGGCTAGAAATTGACAAACACACGTTACTGGATATGTGTGCGGTCATTCCAAAAGCTCTCAAGTCCTTCTCAAACCATATTATTGCACTTTACAGATGATAAAAACTAAAATTTCTGTCTAAATTTTACGGCTACCATATAGGCAAATGTACGTACCATTAGCATCTTGAGGTCAGCTCTGTCAGCAGGGTTCTTAATGAGGCTGTGAAACACACACACACACACAAAATAAGACAAACTAAAAATCCCAAATCAACAAAATATTAGACCAGAAATCTGTAGAGAGGTGTTAGGGTTTTTAAGTGAAAAACAAGTCTCCTCTAGTTTGTGCCTTTTTGTCTTTCTTTGATAGGACAGCAAGTAGTTTTACAATTACCATTTCTAATCCACAGATTTTTTTGCATTGTCAAGCTACCATCTTAACCTGCCAGTGCGAGTAATCTAATTTTTGAAGGACTAAATAGCCAACTCTTTGTTTTGGTGTAAGAGCAAAACACGGGGGTAAATTGCTGTCAGATAAATGTGTGCACGTGCTTGACAAAGCTAAGGTAAAATTACATTATCTAGATATATTTGTCCGAATTTGCAAAAACGAAATGATTTCAGATACGATTTCAGTCGGACTAAAGTGTTTGCATGACATGAGGAAAAATCATTGCTACAGTCCAACTGAACTTTTAAAGTAAATGCAGTCATTAAAGATTGATAAGAAATTAGTGGAGGAAGTAGGTGTGGGATTGGGAACAATGCAGTCCAGCTTCAAACTTGCATTGTACAATGGCAGGGGTTCCCAATCCTGCTTCTGGTGGTCCACTATCCTGCAGAGTTTATCTCCAATCCCAATTAAACCAGCTAATAAATGTCTTCAGAATTACTAGAAGGTTCCAGGCAAGTGTGTTAGGGAAGGTTGGAGCTAAACTCTGCAGGAAATTGGACACACCTGTACTATGGCCCTTTTGATGTTTTGCAACCGTGCCATAGTTTAGATGCCACTTTGTTCAACAATGATGACAAATTAGTCTTTGCGGGCTTGTTCAATAAAACCACACAGCAGCTCACCATTTTGTCACAAACTCCTCAAAGTCCATGGTGAAGACGCCATGGGGCAGCTTGGGTGGTGGCTGCAGAAGAAGAGACAGGTGGGGAGCAGAAAATTGGTGATATTGAAGTCGAAACTGCTACATAAAAATAATATAAAAGGCAAAAATAAGCACAAAGAAAGCAAGTTGCATGCTAAGCAAATCCTCTGACCTCATTGACAATGTAGTCCAGTAGCTCAAATATAGCCATGGCTGGCCTGCTGTCCAATCCATGTCCTGGGGGAAAACAATTTGCAAGGCTTGACTAAAACACGTATATTACGCAGACTATGGCAACCCAAAAATGTCATGCTAGGCGACTAAAACATTTCTTTAATTATCCAATGGATAGTAAATTGTATTTGATAGTATGGATCTACCTCACTTTACAAAATTTTCAAAAATGTTCTGAGAAATTAAAAACAGTCTTACCGCTAACAGGTCGTCCTGGAGGCCTGGGTCTCGGGGACATGCTGTGGCCTTCTGCCCCACCTGCGTCCAGCACTGGCCGGCCAAATATGGCCTCCAGCTCCTTGGCATCGGGAGGGGGGATGGGGTAGCGTCCAATAGCCAGCTCAACCAACGATAGGCCCATGCTCCACACGTCTGACTGAACCGAATAGTGCGTGCCCTGGAGTCTCTCCGGCTGTCAAGGCAAAGAGCAGAGCAAGTCAAGGCTCTACTAGGGTGGGGCACCACACCCTGCAGGTGGCCAGGAGGAGTGGGCTAAAACCTGGCAGCGACTTCCTCCTCTCCACATGGAAGAATCCTGGGCACCGGCTCAGGGCTTGGAATGAGAAGGGCTGGGGGTTGGGGAGGGAAGAGGGAGGGTGACTCACCGACATGTACGACCGTGTTCCAACGAAGGAGTTGGCCATGGAGTCGATGAGCTGGCCACTCACGCCAAAGTCGCACAGTTTGATCTCACCGCGCGAGTTCACAAGGATGTTGGAGGGCTTAACGTCTGTAGGGACCAGAGAGAGAGACCAAGTAAGATGGAGGGCTGGGGTCCAAATCCCAGCGGCACCACCTGGCTTTTCATCCCCGTTCAAACACCCTTTCTCCAGCACGCCCAGCAAAAACATTTTGCAAGATGCTCTGCATACTGCAAAGCAAACTCTGACAACACAGTCACAGCAGAAAGGACAGGCATGCAAGCTACTTTCTACCTCCCTCCTCTTAAACACAGGGCAAGAGGAGCAAATAACAGTGTGGACATGCAACGATTCCGCACATGACGGGCCCTCCTTCAGCCCTAACACCCACTAGGAGTGGAAAGAGGGGTGAGAGGGGGAGAGGAAAAAGAAGGGAGGGGGGTGCAGGGTGCGGCTGCCATGTAATCACATCCGAGAGGCTGTAATTACTGGCTGGGCTCCGCGACAGCTCCTTGCAAGCAGGCAAACGCTCCCTGCCACAACAGCACAACTATAGGCCTGACCCTCCGTCTAACCCTTCAAACCCAGTGTGGCTCCTCCAGACCCTCATACAACCTTATAGAGAAACTGATACTTTGCATCTTCAGACATGGTATTATTGTTCAAATGTTGGTTGGGCCACACTTGGAGACATTGAATATATTTCTACGCTAACTGGTGATCTACTTGGAATAAAATATGCCTATGTAGTGATAAAAAAAATATGTATTGTAGAAGACTGACATTTAGCTCATAAAAAGGAATTTTATAAACTTTTGCAATACCTTTGCTTTGTTTAATCTCAGGTTAGCAGTTTGGTGAAGGTCTCTGGTTAGAGTTTTAGTAAATACCTTTGAAAAAGTGAGGCTTAATCTCTCTCTAGAATAATATTTTTTAAGCTTATTATGCAATTTCAATAGCTGCATTAGGGGGCTACTTCCTGCAGTCATCCAGCGCATGTACGCACATGCACTTTTTCTAAGATATTATTAAGGAATGCTTCTACCTCTGTGCATTATTTGGTGCTTCTCCCGAAGATATGCCAGACCTCTGAGTACCTGTGGATTGAGAGTTAAAGATAACATCAAGGGGGTTTCTCTCTCAACGGTCAATGTGCTATCCAGCTTCCTGAATTTACAGAACGTGTTACGTAGTCTAGTCTTTACAAAACAACTTCTGCTTTGTGATTACCGAAAGCTGAGATGCATTCGCTCACACGTGCAATAAACATTATGGACACAAAAATAGATCTCTACACCTTTGTTTGGTCTTCAAGCTAAAGTGTTTGTTTTTTTGTCATGATCAAATGTGAAACAGAAGTTTAACCCTATTCATTTGGATGAAAAAAAAGCTAAATGTGTGTTGAAAAATGTGCGTGCTTTGCTGACTCTGACTTGAAAGGGAGTTTGCAAATCCGTGGGTGTGGTCACAGCTTTATTATATTGCGGTTCGGCGTGTAATAGTGCCAGACATGTTACGATGGAGGTTGTGTACCAATTTTTGGATTCTGCTTTTAGACAATAACAAGAAGAGCAGGTTGCCCTCTGCACTTCTCAGTTCAGGGATTCCTACAGCCGTTTTACAACAACCTGATCATTTTACATGTGTATTGCCTGTATACATACTGTAATTACTTTACATATGCAAATATTAAAAAAACAGTTACCATTAAAAAAAAGGTAAATAGCCAATCGTGCCAATATTAAAATTAACCCTGATAAGACGGTAATTATTTTCACATTATGGCAGATAACCAAAAAATGACAGGTATTAAAATATAATGCTATGCATCTAAATAAGATTAAAGATTTCACAAAAAAAAAAAAGTATTCTACCAATTGTAAACTCTATAGCCAAACAGGGCACAAAGCTATTGTAGTTTCAAACTAATTAAAACCTACAGACTATGCATAATAACAAGAACAGATTTGATCTGAACAGCAACTGTATTGGTAATTTTTTGTTAAAAAAGTGGCAAATTTGGGGAACTTATCTAATGATAGCACGTATAATGATAACACGCATACGTAAAAACACACCTTAAAAGCTGGCTAAAAAAAGTTTACCAACATGTTACAGCCCTCAACAAGAAGTTGGGTTCCTAAATTGATCACATTTAAAGAAAAACCATTAAACTAGGCTTAAACATTTAGGGCTACCCTCAACTAAAAATGTTCTACTATTAGTCGGTCATTTAAGCGTTTAGTCGACTAATCGCATGTGTATATTAATAAGCCATATAAATCAAAACAATTAACCTTTAATTGCCTGTAATACATAGCCTAATCAGTGAATGCATAAAGCTTGCCACAGCACACCGGCAAAAATAATGATTATGAATGTGTCGTGAAACAGCAAGGAGGCTGTCTAAACATTTTAACAATAATGTTCTCTGTGTTTTTTGACTGCAGAGATTAAGTCGACGATGCGGACTCGTCATCTCCGCAGAAGTGGATGCGCCTATATGCACGTTTCATATGGATTACATAATCTGACAGTCACTTGACATTTCAAGCTTTCTATAGATACATTTATCATGTCTGTGTTAGCCAAGTATCCTATACTTGGCTAACACAGACATGATAAATGTATCTATCATTTATAGTTTCGGTTAATTTATGGGACACGCTGCGGTTCAGTAGACAGAGACAGGAGAAAGATCATCCTGTTTGTTTTCTTTATTTCACAAAAGCACAACGTTTTGTTGTTATTGTTGTGAGTGTACAGAAATAAAAGTAGACACTTTGTATTACTCTTATCTGTATTTTAAGTTGTTTCTGCTGTTATCAGGAAAAAATATAGTTTAGCTACCACACGCCACACAAACACTTGGATATGCGCCTAATAATAGCGTACATTTATTTAGGTTAATGTTAGAGCAAGCGGCCATGTAAAGTTACTACTTACATGTTTCAAATGATAAGCCATATTTGAGGTTGATGGATGATAGGTGAACATTTGGATTCCCTGCCAGACATACTGTAATTACCACAAGGACCCGCCGTTAACTATCTGCGTGACTTTTTTTTTTCTGCGACTAACCGACTAATAAAATCTTGGTCGACTAAGTCTCTTCTAGTCGACTATTAGGGGGCAGCCCTAAAAATGTTTTTAATAAAACTAGTCAACTTCAATAACTAACTAGTCATTGTTGTATTTGTATGGTTGATTTGTAATCAGCATTATCTGGAAGATACAACAGAGGTGGACGGTAATACTTACAGCTATGCTAACTTTGCCCAAAATTTCTTCAGGGATTCTTCTGGCTTCCTTCAGTACTTGATCCAAAGAACCACCATCCTGCGGACAAATACATGTCAGTGTGCTTTAACACTTTTGCTATAAACTCTTGCTATAAACCAGTGGTTCTCAAACCTGGGGACCCCCCACCACTGCACATTTTGTATGTCTCCATCATCTAACACACCTGATTCACCTCATTAATAGAGAGACTGCAAACCATGAATTTGGTGTGTCTGATGAAGGAGACATCCAAAATGTGCAATGATGGGGATCCCCAGGACAGGTTTGAGAAGCACTGTTATGAACCATAAACAACAACACTGGCCCCACCATGTGCTCCATGCAGATGCTGATTTCTCCATCACTGTAGAAGGCGCCGTAAAACCCAACAATGTACGGCGAGTTACACTCATGTAGAACTTGCAGCTCTCGTATAATCTGGTTCCTGATGGCTGGTTTGATTTCCAAATGAATAAGCTGAGGAAAAATACATAAAGTTTAGGCTTTGCATTAAATGCCGTGAGCAAGCTAGCAGCAGCAGGTGCATAAAGTCTGTAGATGGCTTTAAGATGGCTTACCTTCCTGGCCATGACCAGTCTTGAGGGTTTGTGACGGACTTTGTGAACCACTCCACCATTACCAGCGCCAAGTTCACATATGGGTTCAAAATCTTCATCTTTGAGCTCGCCCACCTGGGCTTTCTGGGTGAGGAAAGCTTCGAGACGCTTCCTCTGCTGTTCATCCAAATCCAACTCCCCTAACTTCCTCTGTAAGGCCTCTAGGTTGGCCCTAATTGGACCAGGTGAGACATAACAGTTACTGAAGTAAGTTAAGCAGGAAGGTAAACCAAACAAGTGTCAGACAGACATAGCAGATTATATACTTACTCTGCCGCTGCATCTATGTTGGTTGACTGTCCTTCTCCTGTGGGGGTTATAATCAAGGGGACCGGTCTTCTTTTTGGTGCCATAGTTGTCGGAGTAGAGAACAAGTTTGTTTCCGCTTACATCAAATCCTTCAAATTGCTACACAAACCCTGGCAGTCGCTATAGAAGTTTCTGAGATTCGTAAGACCCTATTTCAACGCCCTGTCATGCCTCCAGAAGCTGTGCCAAGTAATGTGAAGTTGACAAGTAAAAGGGCGACTTCCATAGGCGCAAAAGTACACGAAATGCAGTTTATTTTAGCGAGTGCATCGCTGGAATGTCTCTTCGATACGGCCTCAGACTCGCGAGCGCACCCACAGACTAAAGGCGGCAAAAGACAAGCCAGGCCTTTCGTTCACAATCACAGGACCCACCGCGAAATGCTGTCCGAAATTGTTTTGACTGAGGACCTGCGAAAACACAAGTTGAAATTTCCCCCAAGAAAAAAAAGGAGGAGGAGGAGAAGGGGGGGATAAAGTCCGGCCAGGAAGCCGCTATCCAACCAAGAGGAAGCGTTCACAAGCTCTCGCGAGAACTGTCGTCAGAACACTTGACTTATCTCGAGATTTGACAGAAGGAGTGATTATATGAGTAAGAACGACATCTAGTGGTGAACTGAAGAACTGTAACGTTCTAAGGGGTACTAAAATTCTTTTATTATCCAGTTACCGCCAAAAACATAAGGCGAAACGCTACAGGCAAAAACAGTTTTTTTTTCACGCATCTGTCAATTCTGAGATTTTGGGCTTTTTATATGTTCATAAAGTGTCTTTTCAAACCAGTGTAAAGAAAAAAAAATAACTTTTAAGTGTCTTTTATAGCACTTTATTTGCGTCTGTAGATTTCAATTACAGTATATATCTTGAATGGCCGTTTCGTTTCCTGAAAATGAGTAAATGAGAAAAGTCAGAATTTCAGAAACCTCTACTTCCGTAGCACTTAATACATACACAAAACTTTACAGTTTTATTCCTATTTATATTCTGATTCTTTACAGAGGTATTACTTTGTTCATATATACTTTGCCAAATTTTATTCCTAAAAAAATTGTGAAAATTATTTTGACAGTATTTTCTGATTTATTTATGGAGTGATAAACAGAGATAGCCTATACAAAATCACCCCTGTACAACCTTTGAGTCATGTAGAATTTTTTTTAAACAAATACCAAATTTCATCCAATGTTCAGATTGTTGTTCTCCAAATGTATGCAAATTAGTGCATATTTAATTAGATAATGTCTCATTTGCACATTTAAACATTTCAGAACAATTGTATTACAAAAAATGTTTGCAATTCTTAATGTAATCAATCAACTGTGGAAGTAAGGTGATATCTAGTAGGTTTTTTTTTTTACCCTATTCACCTGGAGTGTCTTGCTGCCTGTAAGCAAGTCAGTTTCTTAAATATTTTAGCCCTTAATGTCACATTTAGGATAACTTATCAAAGCTATGACAACCTATGTTTTTACATTTCTTTAACTCTTCAAAATAATTTTAGCAATTTTCAACTTTTTTTATAAGTTATGCAAGATTCAACTAAGATTCCCCCCCCTTTTTTTCTTTTTCTTTTTTTTTACAGTGTACTATTCATTTTCTGCAGTCTGAGCTTGGTCTGTAAACCCTGTATAAACCAATTGACAAATAACTTAACAACATACCATAATCACTACAGTAAAATATCAAATTCATATGGAATAGGCAGCATAAGAATTCTTTTCAATCTTTCAGTGTTTCGTGTCATGCAAGTACACTAGTGTGGTATCAAAGTCATCAAACAAACTGTTATTCTGGAAGAAACTGTATTATTGTGCTTTTTAATGAATAGTTAAATATTTTATTTAAGCAATCAACGGAGTTAAATCCAAGATTTAAAAATCACTGGAAAGACAAAATCTAGATTTATTTTAAATCAGTTTAATTAATTGCACACATAACTGACAGGTGTTAGAGCTTTTACAGTTTGATTTCAGTTCAGACAGGGACAACTGATTCGCTCGTCAAATCCCACGTTGAGAACATCGTAGAGGTCATCACTGATTTACATTTTCCTGAAGTGTTTAGAGTAGCCAATAACAAAGTACTTGTGCCCGCCCACTGGAGCAACTGGACGCAATTCAAAACTTGATAAAATATTATTGTTTTTTATTGGCTTTTAATATGAACATATAAAAAGACACAAACAAATCTGTTACATCAAGAACTGCAAGCCACTGCCCATGCTGTCTTAAGCACTGTAACAAGAGGGGATGCCTCCATTCCCAAAAAAAAACATTTCAACCTCACCTGGCTACACAGAGGACGTCTTCACCTCTGAGCTGGAAATATATTTTGTCATCAACCACCATCCATTTATCTCTTAATTATAAGCAAATGTACATTTATCCACATTTCTCTAATAGATTGATCTAGTTATCTAAAAATGGAAGTCTATTCAAGAGGTTCCTTACCTTAAAAGTGTGGTCAGATTCAGGGGAACATACTACATTACGCTCTTATTATGTGAAACTGTCAACTGCAGCACTGACTATTCTTTAAAAAAAAAAAAAAAAAAAAAAAAATCAAAATAAAAGGCGAAAAAGTTGGGCGTATCATGAAAAGATGACGGAAGACCATGTCGACTCAAAGGCGAACCTAAAATTACAAGCAATTTGACCCTTCCTGGCGATATTCTTCTGTTGAGACCTTCCCAAGAACAGATAGGATACAGTACTGAGTATTCAAGTCAGAATTCAGGATTAGTTGGAAACAAAAACCTTTAAAAGTTGCTACTAGTGAGCTTAGTGCAGTGATTTTCTCTGGAATCTTGGAGGACAAGGGGAAAAAAAAGTCCTTTAGCTATTTATCAATATTCGTATATGTAATGAAAGTACATCTGAATTTCCAGATCAGAGATCTGACTGCTTTACATGACCTGAAGGTAATGCTGGAACCTGGTTCGAGAGTCAAGTTTGACTGAGAAGAAAATGTAAAGACAACACGTCATCCCTGAGTCCTCCTCAACAGATCAGCCGCCTGGATGTGCCATTTGTTTGGTTGTTTAGCGCAAGTTCTCTTTCTTTCGAGGTTTAGGTCAAGTCTGTATCGTCCAGACTAAGCGCCCTTATGTTGCGCAAGTGGCTGAAATTGCGCATACACCAGCAGGCCGTGAGAGGACACAGCGTTATCTACCATCACAAAGCAACATGCTGGAAACTTGTGAAATCGCTGCGAAATGTCTCAAAATGCACAAACGCAATTCAAATAAAAGAAAAGAAGCAAAAACTGTTAAATCAATAAATACTCATTCTGACAACAAATTAAGGAATATTTAAGAACCGCGCATGTCTCCAAGTCCACAAAACGCTACGCAAATTTTAACACCTCCACAGCCGGTTGAAATGAACACAAACACAACCTCCATACGATGGGCTCAAACAAATCAGCCATTAGTTTAAAAGAAAGAAAAAAAAGGGAAAACTGTAAAGTGGAGTGAACTGACAAGATCAGGTTTTAAAATAAATTTAAGGTATCATGCCAATAACAACTGCTCCCCTGCTAGATAAACCTATATACTACAGTCATGTCTAGAAGAAAAAGAAAACAACATGTTGTCGTCTCCTCAACCTGATTTATCTGTCTGCCTTTCCTGTGTAGAATTTCTCTCAAGTCGTGACATTAGCAGCCTTGTGCGGACCAAAACAACTGAAAGAAAGCAATAAATGACATTAAGATCTGCAATTTTCTATTAAATGATCAGAAATAATACATTGTCATTATTTCATTAGATATCATACAATATTTACTCGCTGACTAGCATCTCAAAAGGACAGTTGATGTCAAACCTTCATTCCCTCTGAATGAAGTGTCGATTTGCGCACCGCATTCAGTTTAGTTCACGCTAGTTGACTGACAGACTTGACCGGAAACTCGTTGCTAGAGTCAGAATCATTTTTAATATGATGCCTAAATGGGCAAGCACAAAATAATAATTAATGCTTGATGCCTCTCCAGTGTTGCTGTACAAGAAAAACAAAAGGGATTGAAAACAAAACTAGAAGAAAAAAAAATTCATTCAACACCCTTTCAATAACCCTCTGGTCAAGCCCGCTGTTAGACTGAGGTAGGTTGTCAACTTCTGTGGACAAATTAAAAGCAAAAATGAGAGAAATTTGAGGAAATTCGTCAGTAATGTCTCCAAATCACATTGAAACGAACAGCTAATATATAAACATCTTATGTGGAGGACTAACAGAAAACACCTCTGAATAGATTGCAAATGGTTGTATGATCTCGACCAAAGGAATGAACTTTTTTGAGATACGGTGGCTTTTCTCAAATTTTGAAAGCCTAAAACAGGCAAGATCTTAAATTTCCCAGGATGTTTAAACCTGTCAGAACACAAAGTGGAGAGGAAATCGAGGACAATAGAGCAGAATTGAAGGTGGTGTTACTCTTCCATGGTCTTTAAAGGGAGAATCGATATTAGGATGCAGTGAATGACTGGGAATGGCTTTACGGGGCATCAACGAGTTGTCAACACGACGCCCGACTGCTCCAGAAGTCTGCAGCGCATGAGTTTGCGTGTCTGTGTGCGTGCATGAGTGTGTATGCATTCGGGAGAGGATACAGGGACACGTTTCTTGAATTTCCAAGGCTCAGATCCCATCTACACCCCCCTCCCCCCCAACAAGTCTAAGAGTCCTGCCGGTCTCAGTATGCGGTGACCAGGTCTTTGTCATAATCGTATCTGCCTCGTTTGGGGGCGGGGCTGTCCTGGCTGTCGTCCGTGTCCTCGCTGTCCTCGGCCCCACCCCCTCCTTCTTCCTCCGACGAGTCGTCCAGAGTCAGGTCCACCACGGCTCCGCCTCCCGACCCGGCACTGGTGCCGCCGGTTCCTGCCGACGCGCCTCCCGATCCAGACTTCCCGGACTGGTTTGTGCTGCTATGTGCTGGAGAGTGGCCGTTCGCCTCAGGAACACCTTAGACGAGAGTTAAGTCCCGTTAGATATTTAGCTTTGCTCAAAAATGCACCATATTACGCAAGTTAAATGTATGGACCGTTTTCACAGACTGATGTGCAGTTATTAACATCATAATTCTAGCATTTTTACATTTACAACACGTTGTTATATTCTTTCAACATTTAATTACAGAAAACTAGTTAATGTCCCCCTGTAGTCAATAATTGTATCCCTTAAAACTCATCTGAAAATTCTTCATGCCTTTATAAATAGCTTAAATGTAACTCTACACCCTTGCCTCATTTAGTATACGTGGTTCTATAAATATGCTAATTAGCCCCGTCTCCACTCACACCAGCTCAGAGATCCACTCGTTGACGATCACATTCACACGTTGACCTGATTTGTTACAAGGTAGTTTGTGACATCAGAAACACCAGCGATTTCAAGCCGCGTTTTTGAGACTGTCTTTGGCTCACAGCAGTTTTAAGGAGAAAATACTCAGCAATGACGTTGACTTATGACTTTGCACATGGTTTGTCTTAAAGAATATTAAAAACCCCACATAGACATATAAACAACATTAAAAGCTTGATTTTTTACCACAGGGGGACTTTAAGGGTGTTGCATGGATGTTTCTATTCAGGGTTTTTCAGGGTCAAAAACGGTCTTCGGTGGTGGCAGACAAATACGGTCATCCACACACACAGTTAAGTACCCTAGCCCTGTAAACTGTAAGCCCAAAATAAATGCAAAGAAACCATATGTAATATTAACTCATCTCTAAATACACAATGCTTGACATTAACACCCACCAACCCACCAAATGCGGGTTTATTTCAGCAGTGGCGTGTAAAGCAGTCACTCCTACTAGCCACTTTGGCGGGTTGAATTTTATATATAATATGCATTTTTCAATTGTAGTCTTTTAAAATGGCATCTGAAATGATAAAATAAGTGCAATGTAGTGTTGTCAAAAAATATAGATTTTTCAATACCGAAATATCTAAAACTCATTTTCCATAGAATGCACGAGACCAGCTGTCCTTTCTCACTCTCTCATCTCTCTGACAGCAAGTTAACACACAAACCCGCCTCCCCTCACACACTTGGTTCATTTGCTCCGGATGAATATTGTTGGTGTTACAAGGCTTTAATTTTGCCGTGGAATTGCGCATAATTTAATTTTGTGCTCACACCTAAAGTGCGCGGACATGAAGACGCCTCTCAGTGCTTAAACAGACAAATACACACAAAATAATGTCAAAATGCAGGTCATGGCGAGTATTCACGTAAATGCAGTCAGATATGTTGAGAAAGAAAACGCATGTGCAACAGTATAATGGATCCATGCGTCAGGTCTTAAAGTGACACCAGCCTAATATCTTTTAATATCTGCCAAATTATGAGATAATATCACAAATATACACTCACCGGCCACTTTATTAGGTACACCTGTCCAACTGCTCGTTAAAACTTAATTTCTAAGCAGCCAATCACATGGCGGCAACTCAGTGCATTTAGGCATGTAGACATGGTCAAGACAATCTCCTGCAGTTCAAACCGAGCATCAGTATGGGGAAGAAAGGTGATTTGAGTGACTTTGAACGTGGCATGATTGTTGGTGCCAGAAGGGCTGGTCTGAGTATTTCAGAAACTGCTAATCTACTGGGATTTTCACGCACAACCATCTCTAGGGTTTACAGAGAATGGTCCGAAAAAGAAAAAACATCCAGTGAGCGGCAGTTCTGTGGGCGGAAATGCCTTGTTGATGCCAGAGGTCAGAGGAGAATGGCCAGACTGGTTCGAGCTGATAGAAGGGCAACAGTGACTGAAATAACCACTCGTTACAACCGAGGTATGCAGCAAAGCATTTGTGAAGCCACAACACGCACAACCTTGAGGCGGATGGGCTACAACAGCAGAAGACTCCACCGGGTACCACTCATCTCCACTACAAATAGGAAAAAGAGGCTACAATTTGCAAGAGCTCACCAAAATTGAACAGTTGAAGACTGGAAAAATGTTGCCTGGTCTGATGAGTCTCGATTTCTGTTGAGACATTCAGATGTTAGAGTCAGAATTTGGCGTAAACAGAATGAGAACATGGAACCATCATGCCTTGTTACCACTGTGCAGGCTGGTGGTGGTGGTGTAATGGTGTGGGGGATGTTTTCCTGGCACACTTTAGGCCCCTTAGTGCCAATTGGGCATCGTTTAAATGCCACGGCCTACCTGAGCATTGTTTCTGACCATGTCCATCCCTTTATGGCCACCATGTACCCATCCTCTGATGGCTACTTCCACCATGTCACAAAGCTCTAATCATTTCAAATTGGTTTCTTGAACATGACAATGAGTTCACTGTACTAAAATGGCCTCCACAGTCACCAGATCTCAACCCAATAGAGCATCTTTGGGATGTAGTGGAACGGGAGATTCGCATCATGGATGTGCAGCCGACAAATCTGCGGCAACTGTGTGATGCCATCATGTCAATATGGACCAAACTCCCTGAGGAATGCTTCCAGCACCTTGTTGAATCTATGCCACGAAGAATTGAGGCAGTTCTGAAGGCAAAAGGGGGTCCAACCCGTTACTAGCATGGGGCAGAGATGGGGACTCGAGTTTGAGACTCGGACTCGAGTGCGACTTAAGTCCCACACACAGTTACTTCAGACTCGACTTGAGACTCGTCCTCGAAAGACTTCAGACTCGACTCGGACTCGAGCTGCGGGACTCGTGAACAATGTTTATTTTTAGGAAACGTCTGATGAGCTCGCTGTTATCCCCCTCCCTCCGTTACCTATAACCTGCCTACGTAACCACGTACTACGTGGCCTATTGCTGGCAGCGCGCGCGCGACCACACATGAGAGGATAACAAACAAAAAGTTTGACTGCAACGGCCGCTGCTGAGCCATTCATCGTTAGCTTTGGGTTCAAAAACTTCAAACAAGACGCGCTCAAAAGAAGCGCTCAATGCAAAATATGCAGTATCAGAATAAAAGATTCTGGCTCAACTACATCTAATTTTATCAGGCATCTGAAAACGCACCCTGATAGGTGAGTAAACATGTTTAGCTCAGCATTGACCATCTACCGTTAGCTTGCTTATTGCTTTAGCTACCTAACGTTACGGGAGGTTAACTCCGATTGTCTTCCTTATGAAATATGAATGAGCGTTTGTTTAATTGCCAAACTTGTGGTGGTCGATTAACGTAACGTTAATCATTTACGTGCCGCTGGCTGCCCGTTGTCTACAAACAGGTTTATTGTTGATCATGTAACGTTACTGTTTCATTTAGTTATAACGTTACACTGGTTTGAGAGTCTGGGATGTGTTGACTTACAGTATATAAGCTATGATTAGTTGCATAGCCAGTGCAGCCAGAAGAAGCCAGAAATGTTTTGTGGCCCATACCTAGTGTGTTAAGAGAAGAGAAGGTTAACCAGTCTGTTCTCACCCTTTGGATTTTTTTATTTCTAAACATTTTGTTCTTAACAAGTTACATGCCAAAAGTTGGTCAGTTGCTTCACATTTACACTAAAGATTTTGAGCATTTGAATGTTTTGGAAATGCACTGTAGTGTTAAAAATTTCATTTGGATGCAATAGTTTATTTGCATTTAGCTACACTGATGTTTTGCACTAAATAGGAGTGTGTCAATTTTAGTGTTGTGAGTTATATCATTTTCTATATTTGGTCTTATGTCTTGGTATGTTCAAGCTACAAGGCAAAATAAAGAAATTAACTAAAAGTAAAGCATTCTTGGTGTTTTTGTCATGTTGTAATAGCCTGTTTACACTGATTATATACCAAAATCAAAGCTGATACTGTATGCTAATAGATAAAGGAGTCATAATAACATGGTACCACTTTATTTTGATAGTCCACTTTATACATTCTACTAACTATAAGTAACTTTGCAGCTGCATGTCAACTAACTCTCATTAGAGTATTAGTAGGCTTAATATCTGCTAATTATATATTATAATATCTTATTTTGTTGGTTCCCCAACAGATATTCTACTGACTATAAGTAACTTGGCAACTACAAGTCAACTTGTTCTCCAAACCCGAACCCACATCATAACCTGACAGTCTACTAATACTCTAATGAGAGTTAGTTGACATGTAGTTGAAAATGTACATGGTTAATGTCTAAAGTGGAATATCGAAATAAAGTGTAACCTAACATATTACATGCTTTGAATTCCTTATATAAAGCTATGCAGTGTTCTAAGCAACCTGGATGGGTCGCTGTACGTGATGCAACACTTATAACCACAAGAGACTTGAGACTTGACTTGGACTCTAGTTCAGAGACTTGAGACTTGACTTGGACTCTAGCTCAAAGACTTGAGACTTGACTTGGACTCTAGCTCAGAGACTTGAGACTTGGACTCTAGCTCAGAGACTTGTGAGCATCTCTGGCATGGGGTACCTAATAAAGTGGCCGGTGAGTGTATGTATATATACAAGTTTTTCCCCATGGTATCGATGTCAAAATTGTGGCCAGTGAAAATGCTGAGTGGCTAGTAACTTTGGAAAACCAAAAGTTAATGTCAAGCCCTGTGTGTGTATATATATATATATATATATATGCATATGTATATATCTTCTGACCAACATAATCAAATCTCTATTTTCTTCCTTTTTTGTAAAGTCATTGGTCAGCTACCATGTTTTTTTTGTTTTTTTTTGCTATTGGAGCAAATAGGAATGCAAAAACTATATTTGTTGACCACTATAGAAGTGTACCCAACTATGACTTCCATTTCTGAGAACCCCGGAAATTAGAAAAAGGTCCATTGTAAATGGCATTTCAGAAGACAGAAAACTTTCTTACATATATCTACCACCGGATAGTCGGGCGAGCGACTGTTTTCCCGGTCTCTATCCTTCTCTTTGTCGTCCCTGATTGGCCTCCATGAGCCGTCAGTCAAATACTCAATCTCCTCCACATCCTCTGGCGTCTCTTTAAGGATCTCAGACAGCAACCTGAAACGGGTCACAAGGTGAGTTTTACCGCCAGAACCAGCCAGAAACAAGGAGTTGCATTAAGTGTGATTACCCGTCAATAGTCAGAAGCTCAAATGGAGCAGGTTTGTCGCATACAGGGCAGGTCCATGTGGGTTTCTTTTCATTCATTTGCAGGAAGAAAACAGCGTCGAAACACTGCAGGTGGGCGCAGGTGAGCACTCGACATGGCACTCCAAGTCTCATCTTCACCAGCTGCGTTAAAAAGACACTTATTAGATCTACTAACATTGGCACACAGATTGCACATAAAAAGACATAAACAGGACACTTACAGGGCAGATTAGGGACACTCGCAGTCCCGTAGTGGCGATCTCACTCTCAGGATCAAAGCGCAGCTTGTCCTGAACTGTGTACAATCCAAACAGTTTCAATAAAATATTGATGCCGTGTGTGTGTGTATATATAAACACAAATTTAAAAACATTTTTGAAAAAAATAAAAAGGAAGGATAAATACACTAGGCTGCATTTGTTTTTATCAAAAATACAGTAAAAACTGTCATATTCTGAAATATTATTTCAATTTAAAATAAGTCTTATTTGAATATATTTTTAAATGTAATTTATTCCTGTGATCAAAGGTGAATTTTCAGCATCATTACTCCAAGTCTTCAGTGTCACATAATCCTTCAGAAATCATTCTAATGTTCTGATTTGCTGTTACATAAAAACACATTTATTATTATCAATGTTGAAGACAGTTTAACTGTTAAGTATTTTTGTGGAAACCGTGATACATTTTTTTATTGTTATTTGATGAATAGAAAGTTCAAAAGAACAGAATTTATTTGAAATAGAATTCTTTTGTAACATAAAAAAAGTCTTTAATGCACTTGCTGAATAATAGTATATATATATCTTTAAAAAATATATATTACTGACCAAAAATCAATAAAGGTTATAAATGCAATGAAAACTTTTTTGTTGAGATTAATTATCATAAGTCTGATGATACATGTTAAAAAAAAAATTTATTTAAAAGGTACAATACTTCAAAACAAGGGGAAAAAAATCCCAAAAATCTAAAAGGTGCAACAGTTCAAAGTTGCAATAGTCAAGTACAATACGGTTTGATTTCAAAACATTTGCTTTTTAAAACTTATTTCATGCTAGGGTTTCAAGTGTAACCTCTGATCATGATGCAATATGTTTGGTCAGGGCAACGAAACTTACTGCGTTCGCGACAACGATCGGGACTCTCAACTGAGCAATGTTTCAGCTGGTTGAAGAGCTCTCCAGATGTGAACACCCTCACCAGATACACTGCCACAGAGTACCGCTGCATCCAAAACATAGCGGTTAGCAACAACACACTCAACTGTGCCTAAACCAAGCAACCTTCATCTAACATGTTCATTCACAAATATGGATATAAGAAAACAGCTCTTTGTATCAAGTCCCTGTACCTTTCCAAAGTTGCCCCACGTGATGGTGACTCTGTTAGTGGCTGTGGAGAGGTGTAACCAGGGCGTGATGTTGACGGGTCGACAGGGCCGACGCGGCTCAACACCCGGTTTATTGGAGGGATAGTAACCCTGAACAAAAATAAATAAATAAAATGTAATTTACAGCAACAAGATTTACAGCATTCTAAGAAACAAAAATAACACACAAAAACGTTATTTATAAACAGTGGTTTAGATTTGCGATCATCTTCCCTGCTCTCACAACACTTACCGGTACATGACAATAGGACTGGTTTACTTTCACAGCAATATTGGGAGGATACTGGTCCTCCTGAACACCGATTGAGTCTGTGTAGCAGATTCTAGGAGAAGAAAAGGGCATGTCAGCATGCAGAAAATGACCAAAACTTGACCAACCAACAAGATGTAGCTGAATGACATACCTGAGAACCACCTGAACTGATTTCATCCCTGGGCGAAGTTCACTGTGCATGTGCAGGCACAAAGATTTTTTATGAGTAAATACAATTAAAGATATTTAATATTCTTTTGTATTTTGAGTAAACAAGAAAATGCATCAGCCATGTAGACTCATTGGCTGATTATGGCCATTTTGAGATTATCAACATTAATCAATAATTATCACCACTGAATAATGTATAATACATAATATTACATAGTAAATGGGTGTTTAATTTCCACAATATTGCTTGTCATTTTGTAATATTCTTTGGGGAAAATTGGTGAAATTGTGTCTGTTTAAACTGTAAAATAAAAAAATAAAATAAAAAACACTCTTATGAGTACCAGAGAGTATAAAATAAAATGCAATAAAAAAGTAATGTTATTTACTATGTTATCAATTTATATCTGTACGATTTCCATTTGTTACTGCAAATTAAAAAAAACTAGACATTTTTTTCTTGTACAGAATTTAAAGACAAATATAAATATTATTCTGGCACACTAAAAATACAATTTATCCTTATTGTTAAGCCAGGAATAACTGTATATAAATGTAGCAAAAATAATAAATAAAAAAACATGCAGGGAAGATGGGTTTAAACTTGTGAACAATGTGACAATCTGCTCTGCACACTAATAATCCACACTCATTTTCTATCATTAAATTCCATTACATATATACCCTAATATCCTAAATAACATCATTGTTATTGGTCATCGGTTGATTGCTAAATAAAGCCACCAGTTTGACTGCACTTCTTACCTGGAGTTCCGGATCTGTTCCACTTGGCTTGTTGTTAATTCAAAAACACATTGACTCTCTTGCAGCTTCTCACTGTTCTGAGCGACTGCAAAGAGTGACAAACTCAGAATTATCTCGCTGGATGACTTCATCATCGGCTAGGCACACCTCTTAAAATTGGCCTATTATTTATTCATGATAATGGCACTCACTTAGTTCTGTCGGCGGAAGCAGCGTTTCTAGGTTGTGGTAGAATGGCAGGGGCACCAGTTTGACTTCGGCCGGAGGAGGCGGCACCGGTTTGGGGATGCCGTTGAGGTAGTCTGTTCCCTGGGCCGTAACTCTGGGCGAGGTGTTGAGGGCAGGGTAGGTTACGGGCACCGATTCTGGGCGTCGGGCAGCCAGCCAGGCCGAGGCTTTGGGGAAGCGCGTTTCGTAGAGCTGTCGGACGTTCTTTAGCAGCTCTGGACTGTACTCGGTTTGCACAAGCCGAAGAGCTCTTCCCACTAAATCCTGCTTCAAACCGCTTTTACTGCGGCCCATGGAGGCCAGCAGTGTCTGCAGATCAGACACCCGGAAACTCTTCACCATGTTCTGCCGAGAATGAAAAAGGATAAAACAAAAAAACACTGTTGTTAGTGAGGTGTGCAGCATATAGTTCAATATCTATTGTAAAGGTTGTGGGTTCAATTCCCAAAAGAGAACAATGCCCTTGAGTGAAGGCCTGTCTCACACCAAGCTTGATTGTTCGGTCCGATTTTTGCATACGATTTGTCTGTGGCAGACAGGCTGAATGAGCATGCAAATCCAATCTCTGACACTAGGTGGCGTTAGAAAAAAATAGAAATACAGTGGTTACCCCGCTGTACAATAAGCAGTGCTGAGTAACTTTGTTTTATGTAACAGCAGCAGCTCTGGGCATGTGACCAAAAGCTTGAATCTTATTGGTTGGCCAGTTCTCTTCGCATTATAATAAAGAAAAAAAAAAGACTAGAACACCTCTCTGTAAAAAAACAACAAAAAACATTGCATTGACACTTTGACAGGATGTCAACTTTATAAAGTTAACAACTGTTTATCGCACCGAATTTCCGCACCAATATTAATTTTGTTGTGAACGGGCCTAAAGACATGCAAGCTCAGGTCAAAGTTGTTAAAGTTGCTTTAGATTAAAGCATCTACTAAAATGTAATATTTGCTAAAACTTTACATGACTTTTTATAAAGTTGTTTATAGAACATGAACATTTTTTTTACTTTTTCAATTCATTACGAAAACATTCCATAAGCTTCTAAATGGCCTCGATCTCTAGTCTACCATGACTGAACCCGTGCAGGCCGATGACACTCCATATAAACATTACACACAACTCAACTCTGAAAAACAGGTAAAACAATGAGCATATTTGTAATCATCATGTAGTAATGAATATCGGCAAGGATGCGAATATCTGCTGATATACAGTAGTAAAGAGATACTGCACAAACGAAAATGATACATACATCTTGTCAAGCTAGCCACATGCATCAATTGTGCATGTGACTATATACCCATACATTAATAAGCACCACTGCAAAGTAGTTGCAAACTAATATCCACCTTTGTCGCTTTTTAAAACTACATGGCCGTATTTATTTGAACTAAGAAAAGCTAGGGACTGTTTTGTTATGTATTGTGCAGACTAATTCATTTCCACAGGCAGCGCGCCCCCGCGCGCGCACACAGGAACACTAGCTGTGTCTAAAAGCCTGGTGAACTGTCTACCCAGACTGCTTTTTGGGAATCAAATGAACATTCAGAACGTTCAAAAATTCGATTCGAACGTTAAAACGAGCCAAATATGCCGCCTACATAGACAGCTTACTGGGTTTTAAGACACAACCATTCACATTACACACATACAAATTGCCAAAGCACTTTACAGACTGCCACTTGTCCTGTGTAGCGAAAAAAAACATATTATGAAATTAAACTAAAGTTGTTTTAACAGGCACCGCCTTTGACTCAAATGGCTCATTTTACTGACACTGTTTTTTACAAATCTCATCTACTCACCATCGCTTCAACCAGTTCGGCCGCCATCTTCGCACAGCAGCCCCGCGAGAGCCTGAAGCGAAAGGCAGCAGCTGGCCAATGAGAAGCCGAGAAGGCGTTCGATGACCGTCGCTGGTGTCCAATCAGCACGGCGGACTGTACATAAGTAGGCGGGGTCGTTTGTGAAGAGGCGTGACGGCGAGCTTTAAAAGGGACAGTGTAGTCAAAAAAAGAAAACTTGAAGCAAGGTCTACCCTTTCTGATAGGCCTCTGGTGCTTGTAAACCTACCCACCGTTGCCTGAACTTCACTGTCTGATTTGCCCACTTTAATAGTCTGGTGTTAGAGCGAAAGCACATTGCATTTTGCATTCAGATGTGATGTGAGAGGTGGGTTTCCATCGACAAGTGGAAGAGGAGCGCATGGCTCCATCCGATCCATTCCGCATGGAAAAATCCATTTCATGAGTTTCAAAAAGCCGTGATATTGAGGACTGAATGCTTTGTGTAATTTCAGCCATAAAATGACTAAAGAAGCACACTAAAACTACTCATAAATATATCCACAAGCGCATCGCGTTTACAATGTATTGTGGAATATAATACAACAAGCATACTTGCTCATTGATGACAATTGGGTAGACTAGTCTGGAAAATCCACACGAGACTGGATCCAGAATCCTCAGGAAACTCCATCCCGTGGTTCTCTTTATTGTATGTGGTGGGGGAGGGGAAGCATAGAATGTTTGAGAACAATTTTGCTGAGGTAAATATTATGCGTGATAAGCAGAACTAGAAAAAACAGGTAGGCCTACATTGCTCCTTACACACGTCAAAAACGAAAACTAAATAAAATATACATACTTATTATTAGAACAAGAATACCTATCAAGTCATATAGTATACTATTTTGAAAAAAAAAGGCCTTACTTATTCAACTTAACGATAGGCCTACTCCAAACCCGTATTCTGTAGAACAAAAAAAAAATAAAGTTGTTAGGCAGAATTACAGCCTCATTAACCTTTCACTTTCATTGTACTGAAAACATACAAGGAAAATAAATCGTGACTGAGACTGTCTATAACTCTTTTTGTGTTTTACTGAGGAAAAAAAGTCGGGTTTTACTCAACATAAAGGTGAATAAAAAGATGACGGAAATTGTATTGTTAGTGAACTCGTGTTAGTTGTATGGTAATCCTCTGCCCTAGCAGAGGATGGCGCTGCTGTCAATGATTTGCCTCTTTTAAAAGTTGTCTCCTTAAATGAGTGGTTTTAAAGAACTTCAAGAACGTGCGTGAAATAAATAAATAAAACTAATTTAGGGTGACATTCACAGTCAATTTGCGGAACCACAAGTCAGGAAACCATGAAATAAAATCAGGTTTGGCTCAATTAATGAACCAGTTGCAAAAGTCACCCCCGGGTTATTTATTTAAGACATTGATCTGCAAAGCTGACAGTGATTCTATTCCACCTTTCTCCCACAAAATCCATGTTAAGTCACTTCCCATGAGAAGGACTTCAGAATGTACTTTAGGGGGGATATTAGAGGTGAAGATCTGTTAAAAGTTTCTTTTTGTGGCATTCAGGCATCTAGCAATCCGTAATTATATTATTTTCAGTCAAATTTATTTTAACTAAATTATAATAACTGTTCTGTTAAATGGTTGCATGTGAATAGAAAAGTTCAATTTGTTTTCTAGAACCTTGGCATTATCAACAGAACTTTGTGAGTTGGAATTGTCACATTAAAAGCAGAAAAGGCCGATCACTTGTGCAGTTCTTTGAATTTTTTATTTTCCTTTTTTTATCTGTAAGAGACTGACATTACAGGACTGCATATTATAGCTCATGGAAGAGTGTGTGTGTGTGTGTGTGTGTGAGAGAGAGAGAGAGAGAGAGAGAGAGAGAGAGAGAGAGAGAGAGAGAGAGAGAGAGAGAGAGAGAGAGAGAGAGAGAGAGAGAGAGAGAGAGAGAGAGAGAGAGAGAGAGAGAGAGAGAGAGAGAGAGGAGAGAGAGAGAGAGTAGTTATTTTAAGTCAAATATGCACACGAGTCATAGTGATATGCTGTAGTCCACATGTTCAAATGCTCCAACTCTCCTACCTTTTGAGTGAAGACATCACTCACTCACGTCCCAGTAATATCATTGTCCACTCCAGTGTCAGGTCAACAACAGACAAACAACCACACTAACAGAGGCTTTAACAGGAACACAGTTTCACATGTAATCCAATCACTACCTTCATAAGACCTATAATGAACTAATTGACAAAGTCTTTTAGGGCACTCATTTGGATAATCTGAAACCAATACAACATGCTTGTTCACATATAGACCTCTGGTAAAATGACTTCAGGCAAAACAATTTTTTTGGCCAAGTTTTATTATGCAAAATAAGAATCTTGGTTCAGATGTTGACCCAGTTCAACACTTTTTATTAGATTAAATAAAACAAATATAAATGTCAAAGCCAAACAGAAAAATAGAGATAGTATTTTATTTATACATAAACTGAAACCAATAATGAGATACTTCACAATCCCATCTCACTTTTGGTATGTGCTGCACTGTTATGTAATGTCCTGTGGACTGTGAGTCTTAAATCTCAAAATAGTTTGTAAAATAAGCACCAGGGCCTATAAGAGCCACACTTGGTTGAATGACCATAAAAGCTGACTTTACTTGACATAATGCATTCTATTTTAAACAATATTTACATTTGTTCATTCAGTAGGTCCTTTATAATATATTTTATGTTTAATTTATTATATTAGATTTATTTAGTAGACACTTTTACATTATTTTATATTTTAAAATGTATTTTATGCTTACACCAGATTTCATTTAAAGTATTTTTTTTATCCATTTGAAAATCAATTTTAATTTATTTTTTAAGAAAAGTATTATTTAAAGTATTATTATTATTATTTTCTTTACAATAGACCTGAATGAAAAGAACAATGACAAATGGAAAAAAGAAAATTATGATTTCTACGTTAGTACACAAGGTTATTTGGAGAATTTCTATAACTCAAACAGTAGAAAATGGTGCTAGCAATGGCAAGGTCATGGGTTCGATTCCCAGGGTAAGCATGCGAAAATATGAAAGAAAGAAAAAATACTTTTAGTGCAGTGTAAGTCACTTTGGATAAAAGTGTCTACCTAAGCATTAATGTGAATGTGAAATTTTATTGGAAATGCTCTCTTAAAACGAAACTTTAATGTTTGGAATTAAATTAAAAAGTTGCATCAAATGCGTCACAGTAACTGCATATACAGGTGAAACTCGAAAAATTAGAATATCGTGCAAAAGTTGCAAAGTGAGATATTTCAAGCCTTTATTTGTTATAATTTTGATGATTATGGCTTACAGCTTATGAAAACCCCAAAGTCAAAATTAGAATATTGTGAAAAGGTTTTCATAAGCTGTAAGCCATAATCATCAAAATTATAACAAATAAAGGCTTGAAATATCTCACTTTGCATGTAATGAGTCTATATAATACATTAGTTTCACCTTTTAAGTTGAATTACTGAAATAAATGAACTTTTGCACGATATTCTAATTTTTCGAGTTTCACCTGTACTGTATATTAGGCTACTTCAACTGTTAACTGTTGATTGATTGAACACAACAACAAAAAATCATAAATAAAGATACTGTACTACAATTTTTAACATTCATATTGACATTAGAGCATGAAAGCGGATTTTTAAAAATGTATTTAAAAAAAAATCTTAAGTTACAGTAATCAAAAATACAGAATGCTTTTGTTTTGGTCCTAAAGACTTGACCCAAACAGGATAAACACACCCAGAGGTCATGTTGTACCACTGCAGCCACCACCCGAGACAATTTGTGTACATTAATCTGTGTAATCTCTCGTAATTACAAAGATTTGCTTGGGTTAATAAAAAATAATCCCCCTCAATTGGACCCCCTGCCTCTAACTCTCTTGTACCCCACTTTGCTTCTAATTACGTGGTTAAATATGCAGAGCATTTAAATTAAGTGGCGTTATCTCTCTGGTCATTGTGAGAGAAGTCTATCTAGAAGGAGGCTTTCTAGGAAGATTCGTAACTGGTGGTGTTGTTCGGTCTGAACAGGTGGCTAAGCGAACAAACACACAACTTAACGAACGTATTTACCTGTTTGCTCGGTTTACGCATGCCTCGGAGACTGACGTCACATCTGTTACCGAATTAATTGTTTGTTGGGACTAATCTTTAACTGCGCTTCTTGAAAAGACAGAACGCACAAAGTCGAACCAGGACAAAATGTTAGTGGGTTCCAAAAATTGAATTTTCAACCACTAAGCGACAGAGATCCAACAATACAGAAATGGAGGACAACACATGCCGCAGCAATCGAGAACAACTGGGACTTCAGTTCACCATTGACTACCTATTGTACAATAAGGGACGCAACACTGAGAGAGCAGAACCAGAGCACAATGTCCCTCCATCTGAATGTCTACAAACCACAGTCGACGAAACCGAACAAAAAACTCTCTCAGAACAGGATAGCGAAAAATCGGAGGACCAGGAAAACGAAGATAACGACTGTGAAGAGGAACATGAGAAGGCGAGTGAGAAGAGTGAAGGAACGGATGAGAAGCCAGCGCAGTCTTACATCGCCCTCATTTCCATGGCCATCTTGGATTCAGAAGAAAAGAAACTCCTGCTGTGTGATATTTACCAGTGGATCATGGATCACTATCCTTACTTCAAAAGCAAGGTACCTTTGAAAGCAACTAAGCTCCCTCAAAGAGTTTGTTTGCAAATGTTAGGCAATTTTTTCTTCAAATCTCTTGAAAAGTCAAAAATATATGATCAATAAGTTATGACATTTGTTTTCACATTGCTTAAACTCATTAAAAATAAGTTATGTAATTTTCAACTTTTTTTATAAGTTATACAAGATTCAACTCATTTCTAAGTCAGTTTAATGTAATTTAAGTTGAAATTACTTAAACATCCAAGTTTTTAAGTAATCAAAACTTCTGCAGTCTACAAACCGTAATCCTGTCGTTTACAAACTGCATTTGGCAAAGCACTTCTTTAAAAGACATATACTACACAAAGACAAGGAAACACAAACCACAGCAAAATATCGGGATCTGATTTGACTATATCTAACAAAGTCATTGGATCTTTCTCTGTTAAACCAAGTTTTGAGTCCCATGATCTGACAAAGACGTACATTCATATTTTTATCGTTAAAACTAAAAGATTCGACTCCAAGTGAATTTGCACGACACAATTTTGGTCAGATTCGCGTGATGTACTCAGTGACGGGTAATTCTTAAATTATACTATCCCTCCGCAATTTCTTGATACTAATTTATACACTGACCATTTTGTTTATAGACCTTTCATACTCAGAGGTCCAAGTATCATCTTTGACTTTCATATGAGCCATAATTCACATTCTCTACTCTTTAAACAGGACAAGAACTGGAGAAACAGCGTCAGACACAATCTCTCTTTAAACGACTGCTTCATCAAAGCCGGCCGCAGTGACAACGGCAAGGGCCATTTCTGGGCTATTCATCCGGCCAACTTTCAAGACTTCTCTAATGGGGACTACCACCGGCGTCGAGCCCGGAGAAGGATCCGCAGAGTAACGGGGCAGCTGCCCTTCGCTCTACCTGCGCACTACCAAACCCTCGGCCGCCAGAAACGGACACCCTGTTGGTGTTGTCCACCATCCCATCCGTTAATGATGAGCTTCTCGCCCAGAGTCTACTGGAGCTGGGCTGCACTTCAGACACATCGCACACCATCCCTTCATGGATTGATATAACCGGATCTACCCTGAAATAATGTCTGCATGTAACAGTGTTGGAAATTAAATTGTACAAATTTTCTAATCCATCTTGTATATGTGCACATTTATTTGTAAAATGAAAAACAAATAAAGTTAGATGAAAAGTATTGCATTTTCTTATTCATTGCATCCTCTTAAAGGAGTCTGTGCAAGTAGAACTCAATCGCCAGCATTTGTGGCATAATGTTGATTACCACAAAACAAATTATTTCAACATCTCTTACATTGAAAAAAGAAAAGAAGCAAAATTCAAGGTCACACTGTGGCACTTACAATGGAAGGAAATGAGGCCAATGTTTACAGGATTTAAAAACAGAAATGTGAATCTTATTTTATAAAAGCACTTGTTCTGTTAAAATATGTGTATTATTTGAGTTGTAAAGCTGTTTAAAATCAGCGTTTTTAAAGTTATTTTAGGGTTTATGGCATTGTGAAGTAAATTTTGAAATAACCTTACACAGAAAAGGTTAATAGGTGATTTTTTGATGTTAAAGCTCATTAAGTCTTGTAGCCAAACTTTTGAAACAGTGATATTTTAAGGTTTACAAAATGGCCCTATTCACTTAAGTCACTTGTAACCCCCTTTTTTTCCCCTTTTTTTTGTGGTAACCAACATTACGCACTGAACCCGGAATATATAAACCAAACATCCAGTAAAAATAAATAAATATATATATATATATATATAACTGCATTGTGCAATTAGAGATAGAACTAATAAGGTCCATAAGGATAGTACAAAATCCTGTGCGCTTAAACAGATATAGGCAAACTGTGAAATTAGGTTAAAAAATCTTAGAGGGCAACATAACAAATGATTAAGACTAGTAATACAATAATACCATTTAATTTCTCACCAAGTGTGTTAGCGTGCAAGAATCACTTTGGGAGGACATTACGCATGGTGTAAAAAAGTGAACACATTCCTCACGGATGTGGCCACTCCAGATAATAATTAGACAGAAGAGCTCAGAAGCCAAATCTTTAGTCTAAGAGATTTCGGCAGGCTGCCCAAAGCCGACTCCGGGATAAGTACCCAGATAATCCCATAAATCGCCATGCAGTTTCGAAAAATAGGAAGCTTATCACACAGCATAATCTGGTAAGCGTTCCTCGGGTGAGGACCTACACTTCTGCTGGAGAAGAGGGAGGGAGGGAGGGATGAGTTAGCCGAGTGTGGGGCGAGATGTAGCCTCAAAACTGTATTACCGTGAGCAAAACAAGAGGGTCATGAGCTAATGTGGGACATCTGGACAGAATAATTAGTGGCTAAATTATGATTTCGGCTTACATCCTTTCTGACGCCTTTAAGAGGTCTCTGATTCCTGCCAGCTTCAGGAAGACAGCAGTCTTGACCCACTTCACTTTCGAAAGGATGAACTAAAGACGCCATGTAGATGTAGGCAGTCATTCGCATAACCCTGACCCGCCTGGAGAAAAAGAGAACTCAAATTAGTGACCCTTTTTATACATTTTACAGTCAAAATTCACATTTATTCCTGTAAAGACGCCACTGTCACAGTCTTCACTGCATAAATTATAAAATAAATATAGATTAATCCTTACTAAAGCTACTAAAGTTATTCAGTCAAGAGTGAGTGATTTCTTTGTTCTTTGATTATCCTTAATGACATACAGCAGCAGGTTTATTAGGCTGCTGTCACTTTAAGACCAGGGGCACATCAAGTGGATCTGACACACAACCCATTTTCTCACTATGTTCATTTAAGACTTAATTTAACTCATTTAACTGTGCTTATGAGGATGCTTGACAAAACTGGCATTTTGGCAAAGTTTTGTGTGTTTTATTTATAATATATAGCTATATATTATTGGAAAAAATATTATTCATAATTATTATTAATTATACATATTTAATTGATTAATTAAATGTGTATTTTTATCAACCAAAAAAAGTACAACGCATATTTATTTGAAGAAAAATGATGTATAATTTGTTAAACAATGTTCTCCTTTTTCATTGAAGGATAACTGAGACATAAATATCCACAATTATGGGAGAGAGGAGTGGGAACCTACCCAAGAAACAAGGGTTTTAAGCAATTATCACTGTTACAAAGCCATCTAATTAAATTTTCTGAACCAAATCTTTCTTTTCTTTGCATTAATTTGCTTAATTCCCATGAAAGGTCCTCGGCATTAAATCCTCTTGCCTTTGACAGCTTTAGGACGTTAATTCTCTTGCATATGTGTGCCTTATGTTTATAAGATACAAGCTGTTGAACAGGTTGCAATTTGCACTCTCTCTCTCTCTCTCTCTCTCTCTCTCTCTCTCTCTCTCTCTCTCTCTCTCTCTCTCTCTCTCTCTCTTTCTTTTAAGCACAAACTCACACAGTTTTGAGTGAATCTGTTTTCATTCCTGTTGGCTATTTTTCATGTAATTTTTGGTCTATCAAATTTTACTGCTATCATGATGCGATTTCACCAGAATGGCAAAAAAGCTCACATATGCTCAAGCATTTTGACTCCCATCTCAACACACTGTATCTCTGGTAAAGAGACACACATGCGTGTGTTACTGACTTCTGTTCATTTTCTCGTTCTAATCAAAGGCCTGTCCCCTCAACCCCATTAAGCTGTGGAGGAGTGCTTGGTGTGTTGATCCCCTTAATCTAATTAGGTACATGGGAGGGGGCGGAGATTAACGCCGGAGACGTGGGGCTGATTAACGGACAGTGGGGTAAGAAGAGATGAGTCGTGGGGCAAAGGCCGATCAAAACATTCTGGCCCCGGTTTTAGTCCTATTCAGCATTCCAAAGCTGATTTGATCAAACGCCTTCACGGTGCCAAAGCTTTCTGCTACCTGGTGATTAACTGTGCAACGCAGGATCAGCACAGTTTGGTTAAGACAGACTTACCCCAGATCATCAGACATTTGAGGCTGCCTAACAGTACAGATTTGGATTCTGAGGCGCAAAGGCTGATACAGACAAGTTATTTCCTTTATTTCTTTTTTTTTTTTCTGAATACGTTACAATAGAATTTACACTAAGGTGCTTGGGGAGATTCTTTAAAAATCTAGCTTGACTAATTGCAATCAGAATGACTGTTAGGGTGAAAGTATCATTATCTTTGCATGACCTTTCAGCTTTTTTTTTTTTTTTTTTGTTTAGCAATCTATACACAATCTAAACACTAGGTGGCACAATACGCTCATTGTACTCACAGGATTTATTTATCCACAAGAGCAGGCGCAGCTATTTTTAACTTGAATGTGCAAGACTTCTAGCCTGGTTAAAACCATAGACTGTAAAAAAGTTACAACCAGACCATTCTCAGTTGTAACTGAGTTATGGTCTGGCAAAGCGTCATAGACAAATCATTTCCAGAGGGGCGTCACCAACAACGGACGTCGCGGATAGACCTACAAACCAATCAAAGCGATGAAGGAGATGACGTATGGAGAGCGGCGGAGAAACATCTCAGAGTGTTGTTCTTTGCTCGGTTTTTAACAAAAGGGAAACGTTCAAATCGATTAAAACAGACGCGATAGCTGTTTCGAACGAGTGATGTTCGACGGCGGCATCCATCTTTGTAATGTAGGATACAAAATCTGCTTCAAAATCCCAGCGCTGTCGTCATCGTGTAAAGATTGTTCCCCAACGTTTCTGATTGGTGCCTTGATTTCGGCGGATTGGAAATGGGCTTGAATGAGCTCTTTGCCAGACTAACTTTCAGAGCAAATCTAAATTTGCCGGAAGTTGTCTGGGTTTTCCCAGGCTACAAGACTTCTGGTGTCAGCCGCTTAATTCTAGGCTATTTATTTTAGCTGTTTTAAAACAGTCCCTTATGCTGGAGGTTGCAAACTGGTATTTGTTAACATGTTATATTATTATCATAATCATAAACACACTGGTTTGCAGCGCAAAATAATCGGAATTCTCGCACATTCACATGAAATGTTTTCAATGGCATCCGCTGTATAAAGCTCATAGATCACTTATACATTTTTACAGCTTATGGAGTTTTTTTTACAGAAATTTCTCTGTAAGATATTTTTGCAGTTTTTCGTCAGCAGAACGACCCAAAAAGCCACATTAAATAACAGAACAACCCACTAAAGAGATGTATGTATCCCATAGCCTCGCTTTCATTCCCGTTAAAAATCTAAAATGGCGCTGCTGTGAATAAGGTCTACAACTATGGACACAAGAACGCCAATGTGCTTGTTGAGCATTTCATTTCAAAACCAACCCTCCACATTGTATTTAAGTCTCAACCAAGGGAAAACTTTTGGCCATAGACTAGTGTAGCCTATTTGATGTGCTATCTGAACCTGCAAAAAAAAAAAAAAAAAAAATCACTGAATGAAACCAATATGATAGAATATGCTAGTATTTACAGTCTAATAATATGTGTTTAGTAAGATAAAAAGCAACCAATGACCTTTTGATTTAGTTTTCAACCTAAACCCGTCTGGTTTTGTCCAGCAGGGGGATCCTAAACCCACAAAACCACTGGGCGATGAAACAAAGAGGACCTTGGCAAGCATCAAGCATCCCCTCTACCTCCCTATCTTCATATATCTCCAGTGGTTTCCATGGTGACAACTTTTAGACCTGCCTGCCAGTGATCTTTTCTGACCCCTGAGGGTAACCTTTGGCCTGAGGGGTCATGGCCAGGGTCAAGAGGTCAGAAGTGGCCAGAGGGCAATAAAAAGCACTTCTTTGATTGGCTCTCTTGCCAGCCCACTTATTTTAATTTTGAGGCTTAAGCACAGTCCTCGTCCCTCAATTCTACTGATGAGAAGACTATAGCTTCCCACAAATAGATGGACACCTTGCAAGAAACTCAGTCCGACATGGTGAGCATTTGATGTGGACTCACTATGTGAGGCGTATGAATGCATCGGAAACACTCTTGTGAAAACTGAAAATGTAGCATCGATCATATTCCCTCTGCGTGAATGTGTGGGTGTGTGTTTGTATGAAACTTCTTGTTAAGAGCTACGGTATCTGCTTTGCATCACCAAGCGGCCTATTCATTTCTTTCACACCTCGTTCTTTATCAGTTGAAGAGAAACGGCAATGAAGTGCTTTTAAAGACGATAATGCGTCTCCTTCCACT